ATAACGTCAGTTAATAATTTAAAAATACATGTATTTTATGAAGTTTAGTTCCCAACCACTGCTACCAACCCGCACCTCAAGATAAGAATCGAATGTATTTCATGTCTGTATTATTGGAAGTGTTCAGAACTTTCATACTTAAAGTAGTTTTAATGTAATTTTGTTAGAAAACACATCAAAAACTAAAAATATCTAATGACCTTATTAGAAAAGTGCATGGGATCTAGCTCTTGAAATATTTTGAAATAGGATTACGTACTCTTTGTTTCCTGATGCTGAAACTGAAGGATACTTCAGAACCAGGGACTGTGGCATTAGGGAAACGTTCCGGGCGAACCACCCGGTAACAGTTTGGTGCTAGATTCTGTTTTATGTTGTTGCGCATCTGCGCAGAGAAATCCGTGACTCCACTCATTTGTTACTAGTCATTCTCAATGTGGCTGTGATGTTTCCCATCATCCTTTATTGTGATGTACAATTTTATACCCCTTTAAACTATATTTAAACCAGTTAGTTTTTCTACACTGATGACTCTAAATAACATGTATTTCTCTACGTAAATAAATTTTATACGCGCAGAAATATACAAAGACAGGCACAAATGAACAGTGAGACTAAATGGGAAAAAAAACTCACCTGAAAAGGTCAAAGATTGTCAAATATGTGTACGCAGTTAAAGCTGTAAAGAAAGCAAATATTAAAATGTAATATAAGTTCTCAATGAAGAAATTACTTGTTTTCTTCCAAGTGTCTCCTTTGCAACCCTCTTCCATCTTCTATCTACACAAACTGTCTCTGCTGACAGAGCAAGCCTCTCTGACTTCTGTATGTGTATACAATACGAATGTCCTAAACACACCAATATATTTAAGTTCATAAACAGGTTGATTACAGAAGTCCTAATTCTGATAAAGCATGTAATAATGCCCAGAATCAAAAGGTATTAAGCCTGTGACCAATCTGTGACTAAGAATTTAAATACAGAAAAGTCAGGAGATGTTCCAGTATCCCACCATCCACCAAAGCGAGACATCTTTTACGTGCATTATTGCAGTGAAAAGTAGTTCAACAGGATTTTTCACTTCTTTTGCTTTTCTGACCCATCTTGAAACTGCAAGAAAGGTTGTATCACAAATTAAAAATGTAAGGCATTCTAATTTCAGTACAGATGACAGGAAGCATCTCAGAGCCCATATACAAAAGCAGAATATATACACAATATTGAAAAGGGGTGTTTCCTGGAATCAGAGAAGCCTTTTGTCGCAGTACAATCTTAATTCAACTGCAAGTGAGGGTCTCTTTATGTCACTGGTACTATTTATATAAGGAACAGGTTTGAGGACTAGCCTAAAAGTTTACTTTTTTTACAGTCTTAAAAGATAAAGAGGGTACTGCAGGAACAAAATGACCAGCAGATCTGGAAAACCTTTCAAACTTTGAAGGACTTTCACCATCCAGGCTCGCCAGTGAGAAATTCCTCTAAACTGACTGTGGCAAATCAAAAGGAATCACTTTCCAAACCCGGCTGTGTGGACACCCAACTCCATTACATGCTGAACTTTGTTTTTTTAGTGTGCTGGAACATCACAAGCTAAGAAACACATGGAAGTTGGATGTAGTTTCAGTATAGGAGAGCCACCTACCTATGCTGTTTGTAGAGCTGCACCACATTAGCAGGAAGCCAATACATATTAAATTTATAGCACCAAACAGCAAGATCTTCCAGGACTGTTGATGAGAATAAATATGTATTTTACATCTTCCAAAATTTACAAGAAAAAAATATATAATTCTGGGTTTAAAAAAAACAATATTGCAGTACTACATCCTGCAAGTAGAACAGGCTTCTCCTCCCTCCCAAGTACTTACAACTCATTTCAGAACAACAAGCCCATATTCTAGTTTTAACTTTACACACTGTCTCAAAACATTTTATAAACAGCGCTCGGGCACCATGCTTAAAATGCCTCTTTGGACTAAAAAAAATCACCCCTGTACAGTATCTGTATTTTATTACAGCACATACCACCGGACTTTTGAAGACAGACTTATACAACTTTATATTAGTGGGTTCCTTTCTTTGTGCTGGAACTTAGGTCCCAAAAACACCCATGCATATTCAGCGTACAGTTCTACTGAATGCATTAAATAGAAGTACAATTCTGGAGAACACTAACTGACAGGGACAATGCGCATGAAGGACTCCAGCTTCACAGCTGGATTTACTCTTTTTTAAGTACAGCTAAAAAATCTCGAAGAAAAATTCTCACAATACACTGAAGTTAATAATGTATTTTAACTTAGCACAGCTTATGTCTTTTTGATTATTGCTAATTTTTTAACAGAAATACTTACCCTCCTATCTGCTGCAACCAGCCTAAATTCATGTGTTAACTTTCCAACCAATGATCTCTGTGACTTGCGGAACAGGTGTATTGTCCCCTTAAAAAAAAATAGTTTAATTAAAAATTTTACTCAAACCATAGCTTCAATTAGCAAAACGGAAATCTTAATTTATCAACTATTTTCATAATTATATCAAAAACTCAGAATGAGGTTTCTGTTAGCTCGAGATAGCCCATAAACATTAAGTATGACGATACTATTGGTAATCATTTTACATGCTTATTGTATTAGAAAATGATGAATGACTTAGAATCAAACTTCATCTAGATATAATCCAGAATTCAAGTTTACTGGCAAACTGCCATTTAAAGAGTGCGTTTTTTACTTTTATTTAAGTAAAACTACTACAGATGTTCTGAAAACACAAATATTTTTCTTTACCAAGGCACACTTCCCACTCAAAGCCAGCTGGTTTATTAAACAGGAAAATATTGTCTGGTTTTATATATATATATAAATATATATATATGTCTGTTTATATATATATTTTATATACATATATATATATATATATATATATATATATATATATATATATATATATATATATATATATATAACCCCCATCAAATAAAGAAAAACAATACTGGTATCATCTGTAGCGTGGTGGCACGAGGACAGTAACATGATGAGACCTACAGACAAGCTCACTTATCGCTTAACCGAAACACGCACAGTAGCTGTGGTCCCTGGAGGTGCCCCCTCTCCTAACCTCCAGAGACCCAGGGAAAAGCTCTTTCCTGGGCAGAGAGAACGTATGTGCACATATATACAGGATGGGAACAAGGGGGTGCTACGTGGCTCTCCTGAAAGTGCGACAGGGAACAGACTCCCATAAAAATTCATCAACCGTGCCACTTGTTTGCTCTCCCCTGAGGGCCCAGGCTTCTTGTTAGCCATCCTCCACTCTACTCTCCCCACAAAGTAGTAAGCTTTCCACGTGAAAAGTCCTTCCCGTTTGCAGTAGAAATACGTAGACTTGTAACAGGTTGTCTGTCATACTGCAACAATTAGGCACTGGATAAAATAAGGTCTGATTGTTAGTTGTCACATCTGTAACTGCCAGCAGAAAACAAAGACATAATAACGGGCTGGTCACCCAAAACGGATTCAATTCACTTACAGATACATTTGTCAACACAGCTGTATTTCATATTATCTGTAGAAACACACGTATGCCTTGGTGCCATGAATTAAAAAAGCAGTACTACAGATCCCAAGTTTAGCTCAGCTAGGGCAAAAGGCAGGCTCTTACTCTTTTCTTTACTAGCAAATCATTGCACGATCTTTTTGGTTTTTTTTTTTTTTCTTCCCCTCAACAGACATCCAGGATGACAGAACGCTGTGAAAAGCTCTTCTAGTAGGCAGGGGGCTGCCTGCTTAAGAAGGCTCCTCTTATCACCTCCGCACCCATTGCTCTCCCATGCTCTTAGCACTACGTCCCGCGTTAAAGCGGCGCGTTCCGTACCACAGTGAACCCCGTGCAAACCCACCCCAGCCACAGCTTCACCCCCCTTGGAAGCGAGCTCTAATTCACCAGATGTCACGCTTTGCTATTAAAAAGTTCCCCAGCTTCTACATTTCTGCCAGCACGGCGAGGAGAAACGCTCCTGTGCTGAGCAGGAGGGCAGCCAGACCGGCCGTACAAGGATTTCTACAGCGAGCGCGTCTGCTGTAACAGTGCCAACGGGTGAGGGCACCTGTCAAGGACACCCGGCGTCAAGTTTTGGGGGGCTCAGCGTGGAAAAGGCAAGTTTCCAGACCCAGGCGCCCAAGCATACGCAGAAGAACTTCTCCTCCTCTCGGGGCGGTGAGCCACACGCACCGGGAGGGCCAGCCCGGTGTTCCCGCGGCCGGGCGGGAGCCGGGACCACGCAACCTGCCGGGCCGGGTGTGAATTTCCATTCCCCGATTCCGCGTGGAACGCAAAATCCGAGGCCGAGTCTCACGCCGCAGCCGCGCTCCGAGGCCGGGAGCCCCTCCGGCGGCCCCGGGAGAGCCGCCGGTGACACCGCGCACCGAGGCGGGGGAGCGCTGAGGGGGAAGAAGTACCCCACGGGAAGCCACAACGCGCGCTCCTGCGGGGATCCCGGGGCCGGTACCGGTTGCCTCCTCGGCGAAGGGGCGCGTCCCCCAGCGCCGCGCCCCGCCCCGCCGGCGGCGCGCGCCTAACGGTAACGGGTCGCGCCCCCGCGCGCAGCCACGTCACCGCCGGCCCGGCGGGGCCCCGCGCGAGGAGCGGAGCCGCGGGGGGGGGAGGTTGGGGAGGGGAACACGGGACGACGGACGCGCTCCAGGCAGCCGGCAGCGGGTCCGAGCCTCGGGCGCTCCCCTCCCCCGAGGCGGCCCCGCCGCGGCGGCAGGGCCGCCCCGCTAATCCCGGCCCGGGAGCGGGCGCCCCACCAGCCTCCTCGCCCCACTCCCACGCGCGACTTCCCTCCCGTCGTCCCCTCCCCCCCCAAGCGGGGGCCACTCACCATATTATTCCCCGCACCGGAAGAGACGGCGCCATGCGAAACCGGAAGAGGCGGAGGAGGCCTGCCGTCGCTACGGTAACGACCGGGCCACGTGAGGCCGCGCGCGGCAGCGGACGTGACGTATAAGGAAAAGGCCGGCCGGCCCGGGCCGTGAGGCCTGTGCTTCCCCCCCCCTCGCCGCCTCAGGCGTGAAACCCCGGCGCGGGGTTTTAGCTGCAGGAACGCAAAGAACGGGCTCCCGCCGGGGGGAAATGGGGTGTCAGGATCCTCCCAGCGGCAAGGGCGGCTTTGTCTCCCCGCTTCCTCCGTACAAAAATACGCCTAAAAATCACGCTGACATCACTACCGCCAGCCCTCCCCGCCCGCTGCATTAACGGCAGTAAGTACGCAGCTGGCGGAGTGGTTTTGTTTTGTTTTGTTTTTTTTCTTTCCAGCAGGACACTACCTCTCAGCGGCACCGCAACGCTGCTGCTGGAAAAGCCGTCGCTCCTGCCCGCGCTGAAGCTCGGAGCAGGGCACCCAGCGCTCTGAACGTGTGGAAAATACTGGAAGCGTTCCGAGTCTGCAGAGAGGTCTGGAGTCAGGCTGGTGCGGTATGAAGCCGCGCAGAGACCGAGGGAAGAGAAACAGCCGCGTTTAAAGCGCTGTGACCGCTCCTACTGAGGCTCCAGGAGAGGGGGACAAGGGGACGGCGAGGTGACAGCAATCTCCTTGTGTAACCTGAGTAGCGGACCACTCAAGGGGGCCTCATAGTTTCTGTCGGAAGGAACAAAATACAGAACTGAATTTTTTGTAGAGTTGAAGATAACTGCGTTAAGGAAGACTGTGTTACGGAACACCTGCGTGGGATTTAATGCACAGAAAGATTTAATCACAAAACAGCTTGCTGCTTATTCCCAAAGGCAGTAAGTGGAAGGAGGTATGGATAAAAATTGAAGCTAGATCTTTTATTAAGACAGAGGATTGTGCCTAGGAAGATCGTTGAAACAACCTTCTGTAACACTGTCCTGTCTTGGGTCTTTTAATGGTCTGCTCATTTGTCCAGTGACCATCATTAAAGTCATTAAAAATGTTATTTGCATCTAATCTGCTCTGTGAAATACATCTAAAGACTTACCCGACTCTGCTTGGGAGTGACTGGACAGGTAGTATTAGTCCATAAGAAGAGGTCAGTCTAAGCTGTGGGCTGTAATGAAGATGTTTTCTCCAGTGTACGAAGTAGTTTTGGGAGCAATTAAAAAAAAAAAAGTCCATTTGTACTACAGGTAAGAAAATCCTAACTGCAAGGTTGGGGTATACAAACTCTCCACAGGTTGCAGCTGTTGCCTCCACTCTAACCAGTAATTCAGTGGTCAGGTGAACTACAGGGCTAACATTTTATCTGCACCGTATGTTCCATAAGTACAGAGTCGTTTGTTATTGACACATTATCAGGCTTTTTGATTATCTCATGTTTTAGCATATTTCCTCCCAGAAGAGGAAGAGAGTTGTAAGAAATTGCACTTAAGCAATTCACAGAAGAGAAATACAGCAACTAATAGCACTGCTGACAAAACTAACAGTCTTCAAGGACGTCTTACAACTGAGTCAAGTTTGAAGCCTTTTAGAGATTACTAAAATTAGATTTGAAAATACTACAAGTATTAGAACATACTGTGCTTACAGTATATATTTGAAAAAAAAAAAAAGTATCTTCAAAAGCATTTGGTAAAAACAACATACTGTGGTCATTAGGTTGGTTGTATGCTTCTGAAATTACCACCTTTTTTTTTTTTAGTTTCTGCTACACCACATCACCAATTAATCACTCGTGTTGAGAGATGGATTCTAGTTACATTATATCTTTCTGCCTTTGGATTCTAGTTAAATTACATCTTTCTGCCTTCACCATTACATAATATTTTCTGTATTATCATTACACACAGAATTAAAAAATGATTTAGAGAAGTTTGTGTGACTCTTGTCTGTTCCAGAGCCATACACACCATTGTAGGAAAAGGGTTGGATTTCACAAGTTTGCAAAGTATTTGGAAATTTGCAGTAAGTTGGCTTGAGTGACCAAAACAAATGCAACAAAAACAACAAATCGCGCAAAACTTGAAACTAATTTTTCTTTCTCTGACAAACTTAAAACATTAAAATACAGAAATAACCAGATTTCACGTGAAATATTCCTGTATCTGACACTAGGCATAGAGCCTTGTCTCACACCATCTTGGCTGGACTGGGAAAAGATTAATCTTAATTAGTCTAACATACTTGGGACTGGGCTGTGCTGTCAAGTCCATAGTCTGTGTAGATTTCAACACAGCAAGTGCTGGGATATTGTTTTCAGGCTCTTGCTTCACTAGATTTAACTGAACATCTCTTCTACAAGAAGAAAAGTCTGCTTGGATATCTGTAACCCGTACACAAAATTGCTAATTGAAAATTTCAGTGGTTCAGAATCTACCTGCAAGTAGTAGCTTTTCAGCCAAAGAGAGATACTGGATAATTATGCCCCGGACAACAGGGGTGTCTGCCTATCCCAAGGAATTAATGCTCGACAGAAGCAGTAATAGCTCTTACGATTCAGCTCAAAACATTGGGATTTTTCCCCCAATGCTGTATTAATTTTCATTTGATTTACTTGCTTTAACCACAATGGATACAACGGCATGTTGAAGGCAGTGATCACGGCTGCGGGGTAAGTGAAGAATTGAGATTGTTACCTCAAAGACAGGAGCTGGACTCTCCCCCCAGCAAAAGAGAAGATGCCATTTTGGTATCAATTGGCTCCACATAGCTATTTTCAGGACTTCACCATGACAACCAGAAATAGTCACGTGAAACCTCTTCGTTTTCGCTGTGATTTAGCAAGACTAGGATAGGAGGATAGGCACACGCTTCAGGTTTCAGCACATTTATTTAGGAAGTAGCACTTCTGTTTACATTAAAAACTTGAATTATGTCCTTTAGAAACTAAATGAGGTATTTACATATTTATTGTTCCATCATCTGGTATACAACACCCGATACTTTTTTTTTTTTTTTTTTTAAACCAGCAGCACTTAAACAAGCTTCAGGTTTAATGAAAAGACTCTTAGTTTTGGACATTTTATCTGATAAACAGACAAGAAAACCGTAAGAACAGAACAAATGCAACATTTTATTGTGAAGCTAAAGCTATGTGACTGCTCATCATGCTTTTTTACATTGCTTATTAATGAAACGATGTTTAACATTTCATAAAACATTCGTAAAAGAACAGTGAAACAAAAATGATTCAAAACAACAAAAATACAAGAATTAACCCCATCCCAGACTGGAGCTGTCCAATATATTTAATGGGGCTGGGGTATAGTGTTTTGTCTCCACCTTTGGTTTTTGTCACTTTAATCCAGATTTCTGAAAAATACTGACTAGCCCTTCACATGAATAAAAATTTGAATCATGTGGCAAAACCAGCTTCTGTATTTTCAGTCCCTTTGATAGGCATGCGAGTATTAAAGTACTTTCTTCCCCACTTCTAATGGTAAAAAACCTTTCAGAACTGAGAGGCTACACCCCCAGCATCTTGGAAGACTACACTTCTGTTAACCAACCACAACGAATAGCTCACTTTTTTCCTCAAAGCCACTTCTCTGAAACAGGATTTTAAGAAGTGTGTCTTACAAAAGCAAGGAAAATCTTACAGCAAAACAAGGCCCTAGTTTCCAGACATGAAGTCAAGAATTTTGCAAATCAAAAGATCAAACTCTGAAAAACCCACAGTGTTCAGCCAATATATTTAATCCACTGGAGGAGTGTATACCTTGCCAATTATTGCCAAACTCAGGAGGTAGTTATTGACAAAGTAAACAGTTTCCACTCTAAGACAGTTGATGATTTACATGAGAAGCAGGAAAACCACAATACACATTTCTCCGTACTTCAGAAGATGATTTTGTATTTGCAGGAAACAATGGTTTACTTTCCTCATCTTGTGGAATTCTAGTTACGATATTTAAAGGAAAAAATATCAAAAAGGAAAAAATTTGAAATTCTAAAAGAAAATAAGCTCTTAGGATGACCATCGGATCATCCTAAGCATGAAAATTCATGTAGGCAAGTAAAGCATCCTTCAACACTAAATAGCAGCTCAAGAGAACCTAGCAATGAAATCAGCAACTGCCTCTAATTAGCACAATGACTGAGATAACTAGTTGCATTCACTACCTGCTTGCTACTTTTCATTCCATTTTTGCTATCTGGTAGAAGTCCCCGGCACTAAAAAAATCACAAAAGCTTGAGACCGCCACAGACAGCAAACGAAGATCTGTAACCTACAACAGCACCTGCCCCCTCCCAAAGCTGCCACATGCAAAAGCATCACTGAAGCACCAGAGTAGCTAGATAAGAGCTATGCATTATCCATGTCCTGGGTAGGAAAGCACTGTAAGAATTTAGGGCACAAGGTTTCACCATAGGTGGTTAAGGAAGCCCTAAGCAGAACGCTGCTTTCCAAACTGGGTGCAGAACAGGCATCTCAGTTAAATTTGCCAGCACCTCTGACTTCCGTATTCCCAGTAAAAAGTACTTAAATTTCACAAGATGGACCTGGTAGCAGGGGCCAACCAGTGCTAAAACCAGCTTGTTTGGAATAGAAAAAATGCTATTTGTTCTACACCAGAAGGTAAGGTTAACCGAGTACGTTACACATACAGAAACTCTAATTTTAAAAACATTTGAGAGAATCTAACAGTGAAATCAGCAATGGCCTCCAATTAGTGCAGTGACAACAAATTCCTTCTCAGTTCAGAGATTCCATTCTTCTCCATTTTAAAGTGTTGCTACCACATTTATTATCTACATAAAGTCGCAGGGCCGTATTCAACAGAACCGTACTAGCAACTTCCTGAAGTAGAGTCAGCAAGATGTCTCAGGGGCAGAATACCTATTTCTAATACACTGAACACCATAAAGTCTAGGAAACTAACAGGACAAAGACTTACATGGGCATAAATATCCTAGTTTAAGGCTTATCTTTACTATTCGGTGGTATTTTTATCTTAGCTGCAAGGAGAAAACCTGTACAGGTTTGGTGTACTCCGCAGAAAAGTCAACACTAGTAAAGGGAACATCGTAACACGTGGCAAATTCTCATTTTAAGGAGAAAAAGCATCACAGTGCTTGAGTTTTTCCTTCCTGTTATGCCACCAGAAGCAGCAACCCACTGCCTGAGAAGACATTGTTCTTCCAACACGTAGAAAGATAAAAAGTGTTTCCTGCTTAATTAAAAGAGGCAAAGATGTATGAAGAAGGTTGTTAAAAAAAAAACAGGGGCATGTCTTGTTTTTGTTTTTGTTTTGTTTTCTTTTTTTTTCCCCCCTCCCTCCAGTAACTGTTACACTAAATAAAACACACTTGCAGAGGGCCAAACTGCTTCATGATCAGCTCAAAAAAGCGGGTCAAGTCACTCATTCATTAGCGGTGGGCAGATTCAAGGGAAGGAGGGGAAAAAAAAAAAAAAAAGGTAGTATAGAGCACTGCTGTAATGCCAATCTTTGCACAGGTTAAAAGCTTCCAAGCTGCCGTCCTGCTTATCCTAACTTACTTCAAGATACTGTATTAGAACATAATCTGATTTTATGGTAAATACAGTTGCAAAGTTCTATAGAAAATGCCACAGATTTGGGAAATACAGGTGTTCTGTTTTTTTTGTAGAGGGGGGTTGGGAGAAATGTTGGTTGGGGTTTTTGTGTTTTTTTGTTGTTGGCTTTTTTCCCCTCCAGATCTGCTGTTATACACAGTTAATCCGACACATAGATGAAAATCACTGAGCTGGGACTTAGTACATGTCAAACAAGAAACCAGAAGATGCGAGACGATGCCTTAAGGGGAACAGAATTATTCTTAAAAGACACTATTCACAAAGTAGTGTAAGAAAGATATTTAAAAGGCGATTTATGAACCAAACGGCACTTGGTCATGGGCTGAAAAACCAGCAGCTGTTGCAGAACAAAATTAAGTTTTCACTACTATGTTCTAGAAATAATTTATAGAGCCGTAGTTCATCCATTACACAGAAAACAATCAGGGCAGAATAGATAACCAAAAAGCAGTGGCACCAGTCACACAGAGTCTCTTGACCAGAACTGGTTGTACAAAGCGAAAGGGCAAGTCCCTTTTCTTTCTGAAGCAGCAGCTCAGGCTTCTGTCCCTTTGTGCTGCGTAGTGGTGGTGTTTTAGCAGATGAGGATTTCTACCTTTATGTTTCAGGTATCTATCACATACTATTGAAATAAATACAAGTATATTCCTCAAAATTAAGTGGAGGAAAACAGTTTGAAAACAAATATTTAGGAACACTCAAAAGCAGTAGTGTTACCTTCAAAGTTCTCATTTGCAAAGGATCTCAAGGAAAGCTTACAACTTTATGATCAGGAAAACCAAGGGCCTTTCCTAGCTGTTTAGCTATCTGGCAGATGCTAATAAAACAGTAAATATTCATGCTTAGCACTGTGAAGTCTATGAGAAACACGGATCAAGTCAGCCAGGAATCTCCAACAACAGACATGGTCTACTGAAGGCAGAACTAAGGCAAAGCAAGCAATACGTGAGATTTAAGAAACTGAAATCTTTTAGCATTTCTCACTTCTCCAGCAAAGTGAATCAGGAACAGAAGTCACATGTTTCATTTACATCAGACACATCTGAAAGAGTCATACCCTCAGAAGGCTACAAGTGGCTGGTTAGACTATTTCACAAGGCATACTAGTGTAACACAATCGTCTCTTATTTAATCGCTTTCATTTTTAACATCAGTTAAAAGCATCTCTTTCAAAAAACCAGAATCCCAAACATATTGCATCTGTGTATCTCAAACGTTTGACAGAGCTTCTGCTATTTCGTACCCAATACTGCACAGTAAGAGTCCCCTCCAGGTATTACTATACTTACACTGCATCTATCAGCTATGGGGTTTTTTCATATATATATATATATATATATATATTTAATATATTATTTATAGTCAACTTTTGGGTGAGTAGTCCCAGAAATATTTTACTTACTCCTACCAATAAAAAAAAAATAAGTTAAATGAAAAGTAAAGAACAAAATTTTCTGTTAAGACCAAAAGCAGATAAAGCTTATAACTTAATTTAAACAACTGTAAACAATATGCATTTTTGTAATATCACTAAAATGGGAAAGTTGTCTTTAAAAAAAAAATAAATAGAAAAAAACAAGAAAACCCCCACAAACCTGCTCTAACAAGGAATTAGTGTTCTGCCTTGCAAACAGCTGTGTTTAATCCACATAGAATTTGTAAACAAGATGTCAGGCCTTTAGAAGTAAAGGCAAAAATGTGTTCCTTTATTACAGTATTTAAAGGCTATCATTTAAGTGTTGGTTTTTTTTAATAGCTTGTCATTTATATAATAAAAACAAGTATCTGTACAAAGATGCAATTTCTTTTTAAAAAAGCAGATCAGTTGAGCGTTTCATACTTTAATATATAAACCAAAACATATGAAAGCTATAAAAACATTAATGTGTGCCAAGTATTAAACATGTAGCCTCGTATTTTAATGCTTACATGTGTAGATTAAAAAAATTATCATAATGAATGGAAATTTTACTTTCAATTATCTTAAACAGACCAACATACAGAGTAGAAACACGTCATTTCTGAAACTTGACAATTAGCATCACTTACTCTCTCAAACATCAGCTGGGCTTCAAGTCGTCCACCATAAGCGTAAGCTAACACACTACAAATGGAAGCATTACAAAATGTGTTAAGAGAAAATACTGCCAGTAAATGAATGTCTTAGCCTATTTTTTTATTTAGTAATTTTATTTTTTTTAAGACAGTTTGAATCGGTTTTATAGGGCGGGATTTTTTTGCTGTTCTGCTATCAAAGGTCTTCTTTAAAACTGTTCTGTGAACAACAGAGTCACATTACAACTAAACAAAAAGACAAATAATAACAGACCAGCTGCTTTTTACATTTTAATAAACAGAATTCCCCAATGCTCTTCTTCCTCTCTGCATAGGGAAATTGTTTTATTTGGCACGTTAAGGATAAAAAAGTTGAAAACTGAACCAAAGATTACAAACCTCCAATTGTAAGTTAGTAATTATAAGGAAGAAAGCCAGACATCGAGGTCGTGGCAAAATTAAAAACAAAAAAACACACGCACAACATAGGGAAAAGGTTTTCCAGTGATCAATATCAGAATCTTCTAGCTGAACCAAAATACATACGTTATTGTTCAAACCATAATCGGATTGCTAGGAATCTTATCTCAAGTCCTATTGTGCTCTTACTTACAGTGTGTAAATCCTCACTAAACGGCAAGGAGGCTTTGATGAACACATTTCACATTGTATAATTTTTTTCTTAATCTCAAGTTTTAATGCAGATACTTGAAGATCTGTAAAGTCCTGTAAACTCTGGCTGCTTTCCAGTAGTCTGTACCAATTGCTCCTTAGGCAGCACTTTGACTTCAAGTAGCGTTTCACACTGTGGTGTCTCCAAAGTCCTTGTTCCAGCGAATATACGCTTCCAGGGTCTGAGGGCTCAAACTGCGCTTTATTTTCTTCAAAGACTCAGTGAAATCTGACAGCTTGATATTTCTCATCTAAACAAAAAGTGAAAGGTATCAGGATCACAAGTGGTTTTTATGTACTTCAGTTTATTCGAGTACTTCTTCAGTATCCACTTGAAACAAAGCGTATTCTACGAGTGCTTCATCTTGATATAAGAAAGAAATTTTTCACAGTGAGAACAGTCATTCACTGGAAGAACCTCCCCAGGGATATGGTAGAGTTCCCATCGCTGGAGGTTTTCAGGATGAGATTATCCAACATCCAGCCCAATCGCACCTAGGCTCCCTTTCCCATGAAAGGTTGGACCAGACGATCTTTCAAGGTCCCTTCTAACCTGGGCTGTTCTACGATTCTGTGGCCCGATGCAAGAGCCTTGTAATTTAAGACTACCCATATTGACCATTTTTATTAAACTAACATTTGCTAATCGTAATGTCTGCCTCATTATTTAATAGACCGGGAGACCATGTCTTAGCTTCCTCTTTCACTAGGTGGTGCAAGATGGTGCATATGAGGGCACAGAACTGAGGAAAGAGTAAGGCATGGGATTTTTTAAACACATTTATGGCATACCTCTGCATCCCAGCAGAGTAAGGCACTGAAAGTTCCTGCCTTTACCACAACTGTATTCAGACCATAGTATGCTGTCAGCCAAGTAATCCCGATTATCTCACCTCTCTGATTCAACACATGCCTTTCAGCTGTTTGCTGAGGACATGATTATAAACAGACATTTCCCACAGAGAGAAATGCCCAGACATGATGGGAGATAACCAAAGTGTGTGGAACAATCAGTCTCATTATTAAAGGAGTATTAGCATTACAATTGGAGAAGATTCCCCACGTTTCTTTGGGACTAGTGTTTGGAGGCAGACTTGCATTCACAACAAATTATCACAGACCCTCTCATCTTCCTGCAACAAATCCTTTCAGCTTATCGTAGCCTTAGCCTTGATCTAAGGCTAAACACAGAAAGCAACATTAAGTTTTGCTTCATTTTGACATAACTGTGATATGTACACACATTTGAACAGAAAATTTCATAGGCAGGACCAACTTCTTCCTTTTCTTTTGATGTTTAAAGATGCAATTTGTGGTGAGGAACTTAATTTTTTTTTTTTTTTTCTTTATGACGGTCCATGTGAATGAAAGTACTACACATACACACAAATAAATCTGTTATAAAATCCCTCAAAGGTTCTCCCTAAGATGACTTGCTTTATGCAAACACAGGGTGGGTGTGTAAGTGTGTGTGTGTGGGGTGGAAATAAAATAAATCATTTGACATAATACTTCTGGGAATGTTCTGGAGGAGTAACACTGTGAGAAAATAAAACCCAGGCCCCTGACTTCATCTGATAAGTCACAGATCAAGTTGCAGTTAAGTGGTAAGGAAAAGACAGGACAGTCAGCTGAAACTAAGAGCAGCAGGGACTTACTACTGGAAAAAGAGGTGCTCTTAAGCCTCATAACCAACAAACTACACAAAGAACCTCAGACATCTGAGGACAGATTTTTTTTCTCAATCACTATTTACAAAGGATTTTCTTCAGTGAAGAAGTAATCAAAAAGGGTAATAACCTCCCAACATTATGCTAGGTATTTTGTATGACAGTATTTATAAATAAAGGTATCTGGAAAGATTCTGCTGAGCATGCATTCTGTTCAAAGGGGAAAATACAACTGCTAGAACAGCATACCTCACTGGCAGACATGTTCTTCACCTGTTCAGGTTTTAATTCTGTGAAAATAAAGGAAGATCAGTGAATTTCATAAGAAAACTTTAATCACTTCTGACAACTAAAGCACGTTAAAAGTACTTTTATTCTGAAAAAAAACACAGCTAAAAATTACACCTCTCTGCCTCAACACCATCTGCTGTACAGAAAGGTACATAGTTTTTACCTCCTTCTTCCCCATTTATCAGCTCCTCAGCCAGGCTGCTCCCACACTCAATCATTGCAGATACAGTACAAAGTGGTAGCAGAACTACTTCCTTCTCCCTAAAGTATGGGGAACAGCACACAAGCATAACCGAGCTGCTGTCCCCCACATTATTCCCGGTACGTACAACCCCCCTGCACCCTTTTCAGGAAACAGAAAGGTGCCATCAGCCAAGAACACAAAAATAAAATCAGGCAGGGGACACAGGAGTGCTTTTTGCCCATGCAGGTACTGGTGGGATCTAGTAATTTCCATTTCCTCCACCATTTTACAGTTTCTTTACTTGCAGTACTGTTATGGTATCAACATGTTACAGCAAACTTCTTGCTCTGAGGGTGCAAGAAAAAAAAAAAAAAAAAATCAAGGCAGGATTGGCAAGGCTGACATTACAAAGCATTTTAGAAATTAACTTGTTTTCTCGGAAGACAGGAGCAGGTAGAAGAAATAGGTTGCACAACATTTCCCAGTCTCTTCTCAAAAAGCACTTGCATGTGAAGTGATTTGCCAGCCAAGTAACGCCTGCATACCTAAATGCATACATTATTCATTCAACCACTCGAAATAAATATAAGTCTTAGAAGACACCATGTCTCTTGTGAGAGCTATTTAGTGCAATTCTGTTTCCCAGTTATGCAGGATTTTGGAAGATGTACCTTACAATCTCAACAGCTGAAAGAAGTGGGTAAAAAACATTACTTTCCAGCAGCTGCTTTCAAAGAGATAGTGCAGTGGCACAACTGCATACTATAGGATTTTTGACTCAAAAAAAAAAAAACCACAAAAAACCATACAAATCCACAAAACATGCACAGACCTCTCTTCCCCATAAATCATAAAAGTTGCCACAACTTTTATTTACACATAATAGCTTGATATTACAGAACACTTCTGCTCTGGCTGCCTTTCTGTCAGGCAGGACGATATATTGGCAAAGAGAAAACTACCCATCAGATCATCACAATCTGTTCTTCACAAATGCCCGCTACTGATGTCCACTAAAGAAAACTGTCCCCATAATAACTAGCTAGTAAAGCTGGGGGGGTGGAGGAGTGTTAGGGTTGGGGTTTTGTTAGGGTTTTGGGTTTTTTTTTGATAAAAAAAAGTATTCGCTTTGCATTAAAACAGTATTTTTTCAAAGTTGGAAATGTCAGAGAAAGAACAAATATAGGTGAAACTCGGCTTGAGTCCCAGTTGACATCTGGATCACAATTCAACATTAAAAATATTTAAAAATTGAAAAGGTGATGCCATTCAAACCATATCTAAAAATCCCCCAAATCACAAAAATTGCTTCTGTTTCAATATTTCCTTCCTTTAAACTTGAGGGAGACCTGCCCACTTTGTAAGACAAGTAATGCAGTCAGAGACTGCTGTTCAAGTAATAATTTAGATGCAGCAGAACTGATGCAAGCATAGGCAAGATGCACTAGTTAAAAATCCCATGAATCTGTGAAAAACACTTCATACCCTGCTCTCCTCTCAAGATGCAAAAATTATCCGTTTCACATGGTGAGCTGCTGAAGGGTTTTGCGTAAGGTAAATCTTATAAAGATGCTATTATGAAGAACAAGCCAAAATCCAGTCTAAAAACCTTAATTTCAGAGGTTTGAGAATTACAAAGGTGTGGGGCAATGTAGTATTTCTGATATCAAGAGCACTGAGTTTTTTTCAAAACTTAAATAAAAAGCCATGCATCTTACCTCGAATAGGACCCAGAGCTGCATCCTTTGCTAATGCAGTTAAATCACTTCCAGAGTACCCATCTGTCATTCTTTGTCAAAGGAAAAAGTAGAGTAAAGAAGGTTAAAAAAACCCCACAAACCTGCTTCAAACCATTTCATTTTAATTGCAGATTATGAAAATCTTACTTAATCAGAAGTAGTATTATTTTGATGTTTTTTTGCAAGTTTAATAAAACAGAAGTACATTCAACGTAAGTGATCTATATTGAAGTCTTTTCCAGATTACACTTAAGTGCAGATACTCGAGTCCCAAATAACATGCTAGGAAAATCAAAAAGATAGTAAGCAACTAGGATTTGTAGATGAAAACTAATCTCAAGCACGTTCAACTATTTCTCTGACAAGAAGGCCCTACCACTAATTTGTCCTCATTTGTCACAGACGACTATAAAACCAAACACTCAGCTGTCATCCAAATCCTCAGAACCACAAGAAAAAAAAAAAAGTAAAAAAAAAAAAAGAAACAACAACAACAACAACAACAACAACAAAAAAAACACACAAAAAAAAAAAAACACAAAAAACAACAAAACAAACAACAAACGAAGGACCCAATCTCTCTTTGGGAGCTTTTTCAGATTTAGACTTAATTTTCAAATTAACAATGAAATACTTTGCAGATTAAAGGTCTCCACGGAACCAGGAAGCCACCAATACATATCGCCAACATAACAAAACAATCTGAATTAATGAAGTAGATGAATATATTTATTTAGTATAATTACCAAATACTTACCTAGCTAGCTGTGCCAACTCTTTTTGGGTCAATGGACTTCCTTGCTTGCTCAGAAGATTTTTTAGCAAAATCAATCTTGTCTGAAAAGAAGATAAATTTATCAGATGTAAAACTAACTCTCGTAGTACACTTAAAATTCTGTTGCAACAATAAAACGTGTTTGTCAGGTTAGTTTTTGTGCTTCACTAGTTTAAACTTGCCTGTAATGCTTTTGTGATTAGACTGTGCACTATCATCTCTTCAGGGGAAGAGACAGGGATTTGGTAATGTGGTGGTTTTGGCTGAGATAGAGTTAATTTTCTTCATAGTAGCTAGTATGGGGTTATGAGATCAAGGGTCAAACTGCTTCAAGAATAATACATTAGAATCCTCATTAAAAGCTGTAATCTGCTGTTACTTTGAAAAACATTAAGAAAGCCACTTTCATCTTTTGCAATAAACACTCTTCTCTAGCCAAATGTGCTCCTGCAAGCCCTACTTTAGACTTGTCCATGCCTGACAGTGTGTAAGCAGCACCCCACTAGCAAAGAAATACTGAGCAGCTACTACCAGTTTTGCTACTAGAACATGTAAGAAAAATGCAATAACTTAAGACAGTTGCCAGAATTAAAACACAGCGTATATGGCCAATCTGGGCCAGAAGTTTAATCACAGAATTGTAACCATCTACTAGGGCAAGCTAAGAATAGCATATGAAATATATTTTATACTCTTTTTTAATAAAATTGATCTTAAAATGAAGAAAATGCATGGAAAACAATACTTACTTCCTCATTTGGTAAAGACACATATACCCGTTTGGTGAATCGTCTAGAAAAAAAATCACATATACACACTCTTTTATAATGGTTTAGCGCATACAGCTCTAACATTTGGTTTGACACATGTCAAAAGTTCGCTTATACGATCAAATTCTAGGAAGCAGAACTACAGATTTAACAATAGCAAACAAAAAACCAACCAACCACCAAACAAACAATATACGTGAGCCACTGATGTCACCTTACTCTTACTTGAAGTTACGAGACTTCTCCCAGAAAGGAAACACTAAATGTAGAAACACCACTCACTACCAGAAACAAAATGAAGCATCTCTTCATTGTACACAAAAAGTCTTTGAAATCATTAAAAATGTGTTTTATTTGTTCAGACAGTGCTGACGTGCCTATTTTCCTCAATCAAGAATTAAAAGAGAAGAAAGTATGAGAACTTGTAGCAAAAAAATCCTGAGGCATATCTACAGCAAAATCTGGAATTGTGTGGGCTATCATAAGTCCAGTATTCACAGGGAAGAAATACTGGATTTCACTGGTCAGATTCCTTCCTTCGTCCTGCTACGAAGAGACAATTAATAAAAAAAGGCAATATGTAAGATGCAAGAGGGCTATAAAATGCTGACTTGCTCTCAGCAGGTACTGCTGGTTTAGACAATTTCAAGGCCATCGTAATGGTACAGTCGTATCCCCAAAGAGAGGACGGGCACCTCTGAGAGGTTAACCTTACCCAACAGCTTCTGCTACTTACTCCAAAACTTAAAACCGAGACACTAAGTAGCAAAACCTGCTCTTCATAATGAACATCATGTTCTTGTATTCAAACAAAGGGAGAGACATTCTGATACCTGAGAACAGCATCATCAAGTTCCTGTGGCCTGTTTGTTGCTCCCATCACAAGTATTCTGTCCTCTCCAGAAGACTGTACCTATATAATGCAGGAAGGGAAGGCAGCTTGCCGTTTACATCAAGCAGTAACACAACAAAACCAGTTAGAGACTTGCCGTATATTCAGCACACTGATGGGATTGTACTGTACATGCCTGCTTTTTTTTTTTTTTTTTCTTTTTTTTCTTTTTTCCATGCAGTTAGCTTTAAAACATTCTTTAGGTAACTGTAAAGTCAAACTAGGAAAAAGTCAAAAGAAAAAAAAAAAAGAAATGTAAACACAGGACACTATGCCCAAGTTACGTTGCTTGAAAAGAGTCTTGCAAGAGCACAAATGTTGCTGTGGAACTGCATGTTACAATGCTGGAGAAAACTGAGACTACAAAAGGCACTTAGAAGTTTAGTCATCCAGAGATAATTATGTTTAAAAAGCCAGAGACTTTCTGCTGTTGTGGGTTTTATCACCCAACATTGTTTTGAAGCCTACAGAGATTGAAAGAATCAAAATTTGAGACTAAGGTACAGCCAGAGCCACTAAATCAGATCAGGTTCATCTAACATGGGTCTCACAAGAAGCTCATCATCAAAATGGGAAGCTATGTACACAGAGACAGTCATTTTCCCCTCATTCACTCTATGGCGAGACTTGATTTTATGCTCAAGAACATGGAGATTTATTGGAGAAGTTTTTCCTGATCTTGTTGTCTCTCTACATAGTTATCTTCTCTTCCTATACCTCATTACTATTGCTTCACCACTGTAGCAATATTCCACTGTTCTAGTGGAATATAAACTACAATTGTTCAATACCAAACACGGTGCTGTGTGACAGAAAAATATTCTGATACTCATTTCTTACCCCCCCCAAAATATAAAACCCAGTTGCTTTTCCTGGGTATTACATACGTGCTATTAAATATATTCTTACTGTATCCTGTCATCTCTAGGTCATGATGCCAAGAAGGAATTTACAGCTCAATAAAAAGCCTACTAGCATAGAAATTAATCCTTCTGCTGTGTCAGAGCTGCATATATGCATGATCTGAGCGAGTCTGTTTGAAATCCTCATCCCTCAAGTCTCACCTTACCCCTTTCACAGTGCATGCCTTTGTGACACATATCCCTTTAAAAGCAAAAAGATACTACTTGAAAGCCATTTATCTTCCTTTACCAGAATGAAGAAATGTTCACCAAAAACATCCAGCTGCAAACAAGGATTCAACTCTGTCTAACCCTCAAGTGTCCCCCTTGCCCTGTGAGGACATTTGTTTTCACAGTTCCTTTATTATTGCCATTTGTTATCCTTTCTTCTCTGTCCATAGTCTTTCAACCCATTATTTCAGCTCATCTCCAGATTACTACCTTTCACCTCAGACTGAATTTTACTGAATAATACAGTAAGCAGGTAAAAAAGTAACAGCAGTAGGAAAAAGCTGTTTGCTAACCAAGGTGGGGGGGAGGGGGAGGGAAGGGGACAGATCCAAGCTCCAGCAGCCAACTCTGATTTGTGCTTCATCTCTAGCTTGTACCGGCACCCACTCCATCAGCCAATTCAGCTAAATTAAACAATACCCAAGACTAAATACTTACACCATCAAATTCTATTAAAAATTCTGTTTTTAGACGCCTACTGGCATCATGTTCACCTTCTCGTCTTTCACACAAAAGGCTATCAACTTCATCTAAAAAACAAAGAAATACATCTTAATTAGGCATACAACATCAAAGTCTTCATATTTGCTTAAGTTGTGTTGCTAATATAGGGCTCCAACAAAAGAGATCAGATCTTGATTCCTTAGGAGACAGACAGAGCTTAAAGTTTAAAAGCTTGTATGATGTGTTGTCCTTTGGATACATTACACCAACCACAGAGGGGAGAAAAAGTCCTGCTGATAATAAACTGCAACCCAGGACAAGCCAAACCTATTTACGTGTTTGAAGTTTAATACATAAATACTGTACTACCTTTATAGAGTCAGTCCATTTGTGTTTTTGAGGGCGTTTCTTCCCCCTATTAACACAAATTAAATAACATAACAGTAATCTAACATGCTCTCTATGGAACTACTGATTAGGCAGCAGGTCATATCCAAGACACTTGCTCTACACTGCAGAATTACCCAGAGTAGTTTACCCGATGATTCCAATTTAGTAAGTCAAAATACTTTGAGGAAATACACAGAAGTCAACAACATTTAAGGTCTTACCAATAAAAATTATAGAAGGCTGAAGTTCTCTGGCTACTGCAAATAGAGCACGCACCAGTTTCTCCCCTTCGCCAACCTAAAAGAACAAGAAGCTGGTTTTGGAGGGGGTTTAGAAAGTGTTTATCACAGGAGAACGAACATAAGGATCTACAGAAAATCTTGCTGATAAACAGCCACACTCAGCCCATTCATACACACTCAGGTTATCTCTGGTTTGGTATTACCTACAACATCATTGTTTATGTCTTAAAAGAAACATTACAACTTCACTTATGATCACAACTGAGTTGTCAAGAGATTTTGGTGCCTAAATGATCAGCGTGAAAGGGAGACGAGGCCCCACTTAACGTTTTGAAGAACAAAAAGCCTACGACCACTCATCTATCTGACAACCAGGGTCATCCCGAACAGCAAAAGCCTTTGACACTGAGTTATCAACAGCACAAACCAATTTTTTTTTATTTCACAAGTTACTTTTTAAAAGCTTTATGTTCACTGTAGGCTAACAGTTCACCAAGGACTCATCAGAAGCGTCTGGCCTTCTTAAGCCCCAGTTATGGCATGTGTGTTTTCAGATCAATGCAACTTACAGCTGTTACTTACATATTTTGAAGTTAGGCTTGCGGCACTTATATTAAAGAAAGTAGCATTTGATTCTGCAGCAACTGCTTTGGCCTAGGAGAGGGGAAAAAAAAGTACTTTTTAAAACATCACACTGAAGATATCTCTCTGCTTCTGTAGCTAGCACTCATGTCCTGATGGACGATTTTGAAAAGCCCTATTCTTTCAAAGGGAACACCTTGCAGATGCTACAGATAACTTCTGTACAGGCCACTTACAAATAGGAACAGATAAGTGCTTGAGCCCTTAAGAGAAACTTCCAGACTCCCTTTGACTTCTCTAATCACATCATCTCCATAGGCAACTAAAGCTTGCTTACTGAAGAATACAAGTCTCTTGCTCCTTTCAATGTATCCTGAGAAGACATCTCAAACAATTTTAACTAATTTAGAGTGATAATTTAGCGTAGCAGTTGGATCAAATCACTTCAAAAATTACGTTTGGGTTTTTTCCCCCTCACCCTATCTGTACAAAAACTGTTTTCAGAAGAAAGCTAGGAAAAATAATCAGTTCAGCCAGAGTGCTCACACGGAGTACCCTCTTCTTTAACAGTTTCACCATATTCAAGAAGTTACGATTCCCTGGTTATACATTTTAATTTTAGAGACTAGCTATTATGTTCCGGTATGTGTAACACAACAGACGAGGCAAAGTGAACTGCTCATCGTTCACACCCCTGCGCTTCAGAGCTGACCCAGCCTCAGTACCAGCCAGGGAACGTGCAGCTGCAGCCTCGCCACGTGCTGCAGGCCTGCTGGCCCGCTTCAGCTGCATCAGGCCACGCGACGCTCCCCGAGCGATGCACAGCCATTTCCCTCCTGCTCCCTGAACCCAGCACGTCAGGCTAAGAAAACAAGTAGCAGCCAGAAAGTTCCACAGCGCTTATGCTCCTTGGATAGCCACGTGGAAGTCAGACACCCCCCTTTTTTCTTGCTACTGTGCTCCTCCCCTACTTCCAAACTGCACTTCTAGCATATTTCAGTGGCAAGCAAACCATTTGTGATGATCGCTTCTGTAGAGAAACAATTAACCACGTTACTTTTACTCTCCCTGAAAATGAGACTTGGACTCGCTAGTTTAACTTTGAAATTTATTACTTGTGATATTGAAGAGAATTAAATAGAGAACAGTTTAGCAATTCCCTCCCCCATAAAATTCACAGTTAAGAAAAACTTTGATTTTTGCATTAAACTGACACCATAACACATATCCAGGAAGACTATACAGTTTTATTACTACAACACCCAAACTGAAAGCCACCCTTTGCAGCTACATTTTAAGCCCACCAGCTCACGAGTGAAGTAATTTTCTCACCAACATTGTTTTCCCGTTTCCTGGTGGGCCAAACAGCAACAATCCACGTGCAGGAGCTCTGAGTCCTGTAAATAACTGAAAAGTACATCATTGTATGTCACCTTCAAAGACTTAAAGAAAATGTTGGTCTACCTCCATAAGAAAAAAAATTAAGATTGAGGAATAGCTCACTGGCTAGCAGTGGTAGCAACAGTAGCAGTGATACAACAGTACAGGGTTTGGGAGAATTTACGTTCTATTACTAACTTGACCTAATGCACATCATTATCGTTTCCCACGCAACAGTTAAATTACATTATGATCGTTCCGTGCACAGGCGCACTGTGAAAACAGTCCAAAAGGCAGTAACACTTTCCAGTGTTAACTAACTAGCTTAACAAGTTCAAAACATCAATTCCATTTAAAAAGAGGGGAATGCAGATGTGCAGTAGGAGAGTTGAAGCAATGTTCCTACTAACTCCACATGGAGGAACTCCTTAATTTTTTATTTTTTTTTTTTTTATTAAATGAAACCTGAGAACACAAGCTTTGGCTGAAACTATTTAAAATATTACTTAAAACCACCCACTCTCTCTAAATGTACTGATAATGATCTCCTCCCTCTCACTTTACATCGGATTCATCTTTCCTGTACTATAAAACTGCACCCATCAAATGCAGCATCACAGCAAGCAAATCTACAAATTCTCAGAGAGTACATCCCTTTTAGTTATTCCTGCAGCCTGTTTTCCCCAGCGCTTTGTCTTTACCACTTTCCTCAAGAGCTCTGGAGTTCCTTTTTCGGTCTCAACACTCATCCCTCCGTTGCAGCTCCCAGTAATTCCAACAATAAACCAAAAGGAATAGCAGGGAGTCCCTTCGATGCACACACCATGTCTAAATACCACGGCAGGCATTCCTTTCCACAATATCCGTGATAACAAATGGCTCCATTACCACTGGAGTGTTTCTAAAATGACTGGCCAACGTGCATTTTCTCCGTTATTTTATCATTCACGGCACTTTCTTTGTGCTTGACTTTGATCACTAAAACCAGTTATCCAGCACAATTCTGTTCACTAATACATACCACCTATATTGCAAATGTACTGCAGCGTTTTAACCTGAACAGCTACATTCCTCAAGTGTTTCTGCTTTCCATGCTGCCGACCAGAATGTGCATCTCCTGCCCGACTCCTCCTGTCTGGAATTATTCTCTGGCAATTTCACTATTTTTATATATTCCAGACCAAATCTACAGCTCTCCCTCACCTTGATCATCACCTACACACTTCAGCTCAACTGCCATTTATCAATGAGACACACTAAGCTTTTAAAGTTTTTGTTAACAGACTAATCATACTAAACACGGCCTGAACTAATTGCTAGTGTTTTATTAGCATCTTACTGCTGAAATGGTTGCAGACAGTGTTTTCTGTTTATTCACCTCAACTATTGCTCTCCTACAAAAATACCATTAATTGGCTTGTTTAAATAGGAATTTGAACTCAAAACTCATTAAGGGTAAAATCATAGTAGTATTTAACTTACTAAATATTCCCCTATAGTTGCCACATCTACCACCACCATTCAAGAAGAAAAAAAAAAAAAACAAAAAACCACACCTCTTTTCTTCCAATAAATGTTTAAAAACTTGGAGGATTCTCTGTCCTTGTTATATCTCAACCTACACCAAGGTCAGGCCCATTGTTAGCTACAGTAATACGAAGAAATTCTTACTGAAAATATCAATTGTTATTAGAAAAGAGACATAACTATGCCAAGCCTCACATCTCAAAGTCCTTTTTACCCAGCTCATTGTATTAGTGTTACTGAACAAACTTGACACACTAAAGGACTGTAGTGACAGAGACAGTACAATGACATTTTCCTTCTGCATTAAGAATAACAGAGCATGCATATTTGATGCCAAAGCTTTATTTTCCTCAGGCCTACTCCTCCTATGATGCTATGCCAGGTTTAGGATTTCTTCCCCATGATGCTTCAAAAGCAGAAACTGCATTAAAGAAAAGAGGAAGACCACAGAGCAACTCCCATCATACGTCAACATGACAAGAGAGACACATAAGAAAACAAAGAACAAACAATAATTTTGCCCGAATAATCATCACTGCAGGAATTGCATGTAATTTTTGCAAGCGCCCAGCAACTTTTAGCAAGTCCAGCTTTAGAAAATGACCGATTTAATTTTTTTAAAAAGTGACTCAGAAAATACCAGCAGTATATAAGCCAGACATGAATCTAGCAAGTCACACTAGCTGAGGTACCACCTACAATAAATAGAATAAAAGACTAAATGACCAATTTCTACTCAGCCCAGTCAAGAGGGAATCTACCCTCAAATGTTATTCACCCCAGTGTACTTGCTTCACTATTACACTTCTTTGAATCCCTTCCTGCTGTGAACAGACTATTCAGAATGTCTAATCAACATTCACACAGAGAACATGACCACAATACCAATTTAATATTTTTCAAATCAGATATTGTCGTCACTTAATTTACCTATACAAATCTCATCTTTGTCACTCTTCCAATTACGGTTTTGTCCTTTACATGTCCATACAGGGTTGGACACACAGGTATAGCTATCTGGAACAGTCAGCCTCACAAATTTTCAGGATTTTTTTTGTTGTTGTTCCTTTGGCTTGATTTTTTTAGGGGACTGGGGGGTTTCCTACGTTGTTTATTTTTTGGGGGGGGTTGTTAGGTTTTGTTCCTTTTTTTTTTTTTTTTTTTTTAACTATTGCCTCAGTCACTTTCTCCAACACTAACCATAAGACGAGGAATTTCATAGTAGTATTTTAACACAAAAATCCTTCATTTTCCTTTTCCAAGACACCTATCACCACACAGCTATTGATAGCAATCATAACCAGTAAAGACAGGATTCAAGATTCACACTTCAAGTGTGAAGCACAACAGACTTCTCTGATTCTCTGACAATGAAAACAAAACCCAGTTGCTTACCTCAGGTCTAAGAGAAGGTAGGATAACAATTTCTTGCAAAGCTTGTTTAGCCAGTTCCTGCCCTGCGATATCATCAAATTTGACAGCTGGCCCACTAACAAAGAAATGGAATACTAATTAGTCTAACAATGAGATACTCTTTTTCAGCTGCAGCTGACTAATTTAATGCATTGGAGTATTTATACAGAACCCTTTTGAGGAAATCTACAACTTATATCGCTAAGCATTTAAAAAGATAAGCATCTTTGATTTGAATTTTCATCCTTTTGCCGAAGTATCACAAACAACAAAAAAAAACCCAAAACCACCCCAGAAAAACCCACAACAGTATTAATTTTCATTCCAAGTGGACCAAGAGTGTACCAAACAAAAAACTGGTTTTCTGCATTGAAAAGCCTACTTTTCTTCAGACTTACCTATCAACAATTTCATTCAAGATAAGATTAGCAAGATTACTGTCCACATTTCTAAATATCTTCAAGTCTTTCTTTTTTCGAGGAGCAGTGGTAGGAGTAGAAGGCTTATTTGTTCTGCTGTTTTTAGGCACAGCCTGGAGCAGAGAGGGGCAAGGAAAAAAACCCCAAACAAACAAACAAACATTAATACTGTCAAAGCATATTTTTACAAAATTACTTTTACATTTCATATGCTCCCATAAAACCGAATACGCTAACACATACCAGATATTCTGACACTGTATTTTGCTACAGATCATACTATCATATTCAGGCACAGGTAGAGCATCTTCAGCTCCAGTGGAGAGGGAGTTTTTGGCTTGAGGATTATTTTTTGTTTGTTTGTTTTAAAAGATAGTTCACTGTATTTAACTAGAGTATTTTCCCCTGGCATTCTCTAGAAACAGAGCATAACAGACTGTTTCAGGTTCTCAATACCTATAAGCAAGGATTTCTACTGCTCTCATACTTTGCTAACAGGCCACTTAAAAGCCTTCATATTATAGCAGCAATAAAGCTCAACCACATTTAAGTTCTGTCCATTCTGCTCTCTATTCTACTTTACTGTGGGAGTAGCAGGGGGGAGGTAAGGATGGGAGGGAAAGAGGCGGGTCAAAAGAAATGCAACATTTTTTGTGTCTTGTTAGTACAGGACTTACTTTTGTATTTCAGTCACAATCTAACCATAATTTGCTTTTCCAATGTGGTTGCAAGACAACCTGTGCATACATGCTTTGGAAGAGAAGGAAGGTGGAGGGGGGGAAATCTGTAGTTCTGGAGTAAGAGGTTTTTTTTTTCTCCATCTTTTACATACTGGGAGTAACATTTATTCTTCTCCTAGATAATCTTCTCTCAGTTTCCCATGCAATTTTCAAAACAAGGATTATCATTTATAACTGCGATCACAATTAAAATCCATTTGCCCATGCAGCCACCCAATACCTCTCAATTTGTAAAATCCACTCTGCAGCCTAACTCAAGAGACTTAGCCAAAATTTAGAGGGTTCTAGCTTTTTTCCCCAAAAAAACTTTCTGCTACTACAAGTCTGTCATAAATGCAGTAAATCCCAAGCTTGTTCTGGAATTTACATGGACTTTCCAAGTATATACTGCTATATTTATCTTTACCATACCTTATGAGTTGAAGCTGCAGGATTCGGTGCTGGTCTAGACACAGAAGTTGATATCCCACTGTAGCTAGGTGTTCTATGGTGACCTGAAAGGCCTGTGGATCCAGTTTTTGCAACAGTTTTTGAACGAGGAAGGGAATTACTTGTGTGTGTTAAGGGATCCTTCTTTTTTGGAACCGCTCCACTTTCTATAAAGAAAACCAATGTTATGAGAACATTTTCAGCAGTCATACTTTTACCATCAATGCTAACCTGAAGATAGTATTATATGTGCCAACAATACAGTATTACAGCAGAATAATACAAGTTTTAGAGAAGTTTAGTACTTTTAAGGGGATATTAACCGTAGCTTTCTCCTAAAGTTAAGTTCTGCATTTTTATGAGCTCTCAAGGCCTACACTAGTTAGCCATCTTAGAAAAGCTGGAGATGGTTAAGTCCTGTAACAAGGGAAGAACACCATCGATTCCTTAAGACAGAAGAATACAAAGAACCAGCCAGATTTTCCTTCCCAAGAACTCCTAAAACTAATCGTTATTGTAATCCCCAAATTTCAAGCTTTTAGGTTCAGAGGATTCATTCCTTAAGTGGTTAGCAGGCTAGTTACTTTGGATGCTAGCTAACGCCATCTAACACTAACACCTTCCACGCAGAAGCTTCACCAAGGCACTTCAACTTGGGAAAATTAAAATAGTTATACCTGCAAGCAACTACCAGGAGCTTTTTTCTTGCAACCTTATTTCACCTAAGGAATCTCAAGGTGTAAGTAATTTCTGAACAGACAGCTCTGAAGCAACTTACCTTCCTATATTTAAAATTAAGTCTTAAAATACTCTATCACACCACTGAGTTCAGACACCACCACACATCCCATTCACGCTTACTTACTCTAATTCACCTCCATGACGGAGCAAGAAGGTCTCAAGTTTGGTGATAGATAAAACTTAACATACTGGCCGCAGGTGATTAAATTACAAAAGGCCATTTTGGTCCAAAGTGAAATAGCACTCGATTTCTACATTCTCCATAGGGGATATACAATAAAATAAGGTTCCGTGACACAGAAATGGCAAGTGTAAAACATCACAACAGACACCAAGAGGTAAGAACGTGCTACAGCAAGCACACCATTTGGTCAGGCTGGGTAATGATGAGAGCACAGCATCAGATCGGGGAGGGTTTTGTGGTGGGAATATAGTATTGGAAGCTGTCTAGCACAGTACTATTGTCTGTGATGGAAACTGTAAATATTGCCTTATTTTATATCCCTTTAAAAGGATTAAGGAGCCTTTTGTTTAGTTAAGAGGACTATGGTGTCAGAGGCAAGGAATCTCAAGATGGATTTCAGCAACAAGTTCCTTCACTAAGATTTTAGAAATCTGCAACTCGGTTTGACTTGTTAGTCTTAAGTAATGGGCCAAAGAATTCTGATTTTTAAGGAAGTCAATGACTTGACAAAGAATTTTTAATTTATAATATTGCAGTTCAGTGAAACCTAAGTAGAAAGCCTCATAATTTTGAAAGTTGTGTTTAAAAAATTCAAATAAGAATACCTCAGTGAAACAGTATCATGGAAAGATCAATTAATTACTACCATGTTCTCAGCTGCTTTCACCAGAGAAGTCTTGCATACTACCAGAAGCAAATCTTTACCTAACTTGCAGTTATTCATGGGTTGAACTACTTGGCTAAAAAGCTTCTAAAGCCCTTCTTCAGTCACAGATCTACCCCTTTTAAGAGTTACAGAAACTCTGCAGATGTCATCATATATAATGCAGATGTGTCAACATGAAAAAAAACAAGGGAACTTGAAGAATATGACTAGTTACCTTCACTTGTAAGATATTTTTTTGTAAAAAAAAAAAAAACAAACAACCCCAAACTGGCTACTAAGTCACACACAGATCCAGAGCTCATTAAATTTAATTGGTCATTACTGCACAAGAATTTCCAAATCAAAACCTCTTCAAAATCAGGCATACTCAGTAACTTTACAGTTCAAAGAGCAGTATATTAATATATTAAAAAACCTAGCTACTCAACACTTTGACTGGTCCAATTTAATCAAAAGGTGGCACTCGGTTTCTTGGGTGTTTTTTTCCTTCAGCCTCATTTGCACAGCTGGCTTAAAGTTAACATGAGAAGGCTTCAAAAAGCTGAAGTAGTTTTTCTCTATCTCTTTCATCCTAACATGTTACTCAGTTATCACACTTGCCCAGAACGACCCCCATCTATTGAGAACAACGCACACACATTGTGATTTTGAGTATCATAAAATTGCGTAAGTATTTCAGGAAGCTGGAAATACAGGGAGGGCAAGAGGAAAAAAAAAAAAAAAAAAAAACAAACCACACAAAAAAGAAGGCTTAAATACAAATTATGATTTACCCTAGCTATACCTCCAGGAATCAAGACCACTAAGTTTACATATGTGGTTTGGTTTATAAACTACAGTCGGTCCTGATGGGTAGCACAGGAAGAAGCACTGACGAGCTGCTCCTCAACATAGTTGTTCAGTGCCAACTCCAGAGGAAAACTTCATTTTATATACAAATTTTATTTGAAGAAGCAAATAGAAATGCAACGAAACTTTTCAGAATTACAGTTTATCTAAAGTTTACCTATTTCTAAAGGGTGGTTAGGAACACACGTACGTCTCATCAGACTGATAGCCCCTCTTATTTCATTATGTAAAATATATATTTTTCAGTAACAAATGCAAAACCCCCAAAACACATTTCCTATCCGTTTGTATTTGTCATCTGCTGAAAGACAGAAAACATGCTGCAAATGGCCTTAAAATGTTTGTAGTATCTCCAGCAGGCTTTTGCCAAATGTTCCACTGTTCTGTATAAAACAGTAAGGAAGTGCCTAAAATATGTTCTAATCACACAGACAGATCATGGTATTTTTTCAAGTGTATTTGAAACAGTGAACAATTCAATTGTCTACTTCATATATACTTATAGGGTAGTAATAGGGGCTTACTCCCTAATTCTTGACTGGACAGAATAATTTACTTCAAAGTTCCCAGCTAACTCCACTAGATCACACAGAAATAGTAACTATATGCTCCTGAAAGCATCCTTGCAATTTTAATGTCATCCAAATATATACACAACAACAAAAAAAATACAAACAAGCAAGGAACAAAATTTTGTCTGAGTTTTTCTATTGGTTCAATTGGGATAAGCTCCAGACACAGGTGCCTCATTCCAGACTCCTTACAGAAATATTAAAATGCATTTATTATATTTAACTGTTTTTAAAGGTAAAGTGAAGGATATCTTTGAACAACTTTAAGAGAAGCTTCATTGTACTACACACATGAACACACAGAAACAATCTGGGAAAAAATGCATCTCTAGCATTTTTATTTAATAACAATAAGAGCATGCTTTGTATTTCTAAAAAGCAAACCAATTATAATTTCTTTTGTGCATCTAAAACAGATTAAGGCACATCAATAAACAAGTTTTTGCTGTTTTATAACTTCTTAAGCACCCAAAAAACATCTTAAATTAAAATTAGCAGCAGCAATACCCATATTGCAGAACAGTTTCCAGCCTTCTGTTGTGAAACCTTAAAAGTCATCAGGGAATATTCCTCAAATTCCTTACGTATACCTATTGATAACTGATATAAAGTGATTAAGAGAAGTTATTATATGTGGTCTGTGGACCCCAGTTGGGGGGGGGAAAAAAAAAAAAAAAAAAAAAATCACCAAACAACTTTAAACTGCTTAGGTATACATTTTCTGTAAATACTGCATAGCAAAATACATGAAGCAATTACAAGACTAGATATTCAGAATCAGCATTCGCAATAGCCCCCAAAATAGTAATTCCTTGAAAGATTATATTAATATTTTTTAACAACTATCTAACAGAAAACTTCAGCAACTAACAAGGACCCGTTCCACATTTCAAATGGTAGCACAGCTACACAGATCAGGGACACAGCTGTTCTCCTCCTGAACTGACAGAGCTGTGTCAAATCACTGTTGCCAAATGATGGTGTTAAAAATGATCTTACTGCTACTCCTTCTTCTACTTGGGAAACTCCTTAAAAAACTACAGTATTAAGAGTGTATTTTTTGCAACTTGAAATCAACATTGCTAATATATGCCCACTAGTGAAGATATGCCAGCAAGTCTTTCCAAGTGAAAACTGAGATAAAAACTAGCTACTTGCACAGTGATAATGTTGTGGTAAGAAAGAGAAATTTAATGCCTTCTCTGATTGTATGTCATGCTGGGATTTACATGTTAAATATAAAATGGTACACTGGAAGTACTGTAATACTACCAGTATTGTATGCCCAGTAAATAAGTTCATAAAACTCATAAACACTGCCTTTGGCAAAACTGGCATAATCTTGCTCCCAAGCTAGTTTAAAAAACAACAACCCATGATGCAAAGTAAAACATGCATGTCTGAGGGGGGGAAAAAAAAACAAAAAAAACCCCAAAAAAACAACAAACCAAACAAACAAGCCACAGTTAAATTGTTTTACATCTAATTTAAGACTGCTATGCAAACAAGACTGATAGAGATTAAACAATAAATATGTATTTCAACATAAAGGTTTGGGTCAAGGCTGCTGGTCATTACTCTTTACACAAGTTACTACATAGATTTCTGGAACTGAAGGGCAGGTGATATTGCTGTAATGAGGTCCTGTGAAACCTCACTGTAAAGGTATCAGATAAATTTTTAAGAAAAACCTCTAGCTATTCGGGTAGGATAGGAAACTATGAATGAGGAAGACGGGGATAGGTAGCCATTTGTGCTTGAATCAAGTCAATTGGTCTGAAAGGCTGACACATAGTATCTTGGAAGAAGGAAGAATCTCAAATCAGTAACATTTTGGAAATATAAAAAATGCGTAGTGTAACTGTGACAACAGAATATCCGACAGAATTAAGAAGCTAAAACATCTTTAAAGACTTTGGCCTTTAAGGGCAAATGAAAGAAAGCAAAGCACTTTTTGACCGAAGAAGGAGCAAAAAGGCACTTTCTTGCTGTTAAAACAATGACTGAACATGTTTCACATTTCATAAAATTCTGGACTTTTAAAAAATCCAGCCTGATTAGGCAACAGCGCAGGTAATGCTTTATGTAGATGGAAAAATGGAGCTTATGCCAGAGCCCTGTGGTTCAGTACCTCTGCAGCACCTCTACTTCCTCAGTAACAGCAGCCCTCAGCCTACAAGCTGATTTTATAGTTTTCTACTTTGTGTTCTCAAATGATTGCTCCCGTCCGTCTGAAAAATACCATCTTTATTACAACATGTATAAAGGAAGTACTTTTTTCTTCAAAGTGTAGCACATCTTACAAACAAGAATGTTTCCCCTTACAGCCCCCCCAAAAAAAAGACAGAGAGAGTGAGCATGCGAGCGTTGGCACCAGCCACTTGAGAAATACAGATGACTTAACAGGCTGACTTTATTGGTGCTATCAGGGATCCCACAGATGCGGGAGAAGTTCAGTACTTCAGGTAAACCTCTAACTTGCACAAGTTATTAATCTTACGTTTACCCCTGGCAATGTAAACGCAGATGGAAATGGAACAAGCCTCCTGAAGTCTTGTTCAAAGTGATCAGTAGATGCCTGGTACCTTACTCTTTATGAGCTGCCCTTTAGTCTTTCTGTCTCTTCTCAGGTCCCGCTGTGCCTGGCAAATGAAGGCTTCTCTGTTAGTCCACATTCCTCTTCAGAAAGTCAGAAGACACTCCCAGAAAAACGCATTCCCAGAAGACCATGGCCCTTTGCAGTTGTTTCGCTATCCCTTCCTCCACAGTTTTGCAGAAGTGGTTCAGTCATCCATCTTTTATATGTCACCAGGAATAGGAATCCAAATGGGTAAACTGACTGATACCAATTTCCACAACCTTACCAACAGCGACCACCTCCTGCTACAGGAATTTGTCAACAAAAACACCTGCTGCAGTACTGGCAAAATGTTTCTTCATTTCCAGCAGATACCCATGGATATTCTATGCTTTGTTACTGACAGATTTAAATAACTAAATTAACAGTTTTAGGAGTGAAAGTTCAGTCTAACCTTCTCCTTCAGCATCCAATTTTGAGATAGGTTGAGGAAAAAGGTGCAAAAACATATGAAGGAAGGAGTTTAAAGAAAAAGCTGTTCATATTGCATCAGATGGAGCATTTTATCAACTTCGGTGTGTATACGTATGTATTTGTTCACTCAATCTCCAGCCAACAAGGTAAAAAGACAAGAGTTGTACTGGGTCATCTAAGGTAAAGAGTTCCCAAGCTCAATCTGCATAGAAACTTATACAGCAGAGCCCTTTTAACTATATCATTTTGACAAATGTCAAAAAATACCACACATACAGTAATCTAAAGGTTCCTAACATGATGTAGTTCTACTATTTTAACTTCTCATACATTAGAAAGACTAAAACCAAACAGTAAGATGACTTAAGAACTAGAAAGGGAGCTTAAAAAAAAAAAAAAAAAAAAGCATGTGGTTTATACTGGTTCAAGTTTAGTTACTTTAAAAACCGAATATTGTTCAGCAGACAAGCTTTATGAATTCCATTCCTTGTTAGCTCTCCATTTTATTTAATCTCATTACAGTTTACTATACAAATTATCAGTTACTGCTGGCTTAAAACATTCCCTGAAGACAATTCACAAACCACACAGTAACTTTACTCCTCATGTATGGATAAACAAGTTTACTTGTTGTATTTTAGTATCCCTGGTACAGTCTTCTGGGAAAGGATAAAAAGCTTCTTTGACAAAAAAACAAAAGCTGGGCTTTTCTGCCCCCTTCTTTTAATCATGTATTACTTTCTAAGAGCAAAAAACCCTGAAATTTAAAGCAGCTTAATGCAAACGCACATTCACTCTCGCAGTATCATAAAGGATGAACTACTTATGTAGGCACAATATATAACCTACATATCCCAACTTGACTTTGACACTTTCTAAAACGAGTTTAATTTCATTCCTTTAAGAATATGAGAAATATATTCTAAAATGTTGTCTTAGTAAAAAGTTTTGGATTCTAGGACAGTCATCGTAAGAGAAAACTGAATACTACAAAATAAAACAGTGTCATCAAAGTCATAGAAAGGATGGAATGTATTTTGTATAAAGCCTTTAAAAACAGAAATATGAAACAATTTTTTTAAAAAGTTGGTGGGGCCAGAACACAGCATTGCATATTTTTCCCTGTAACACACCAGAAACTGCGAGACATCCCCTCAATAGGCACTGGTAAAACCAAACCCACCTGACTGGAGATGTCCATTGCGGCATGCCAGGTTAGTACTGTCATTACAGACCTCCATTTGCGGCTTGGAAATTTGCAAAACTGCCTGCAGCTTCTCTACATAGTAGACAGAGGGGGAGGGAGGAAAAAGGACAAAATAAACAAACAAAAAATAAAAATGAACCAAGAAAATTTATGTATGCTGAACACACAAATGTCAAGTTTGGCTTTGTTACACTTGATACACGGTTAAAGGTAAAAGGAATATTTCTATCTATTCTATATGTTTAGCAAATTTGTCAGGAAATTCTGTCAGTATGAGCATGGCTGAAAATAGCTTTAAAACTAGCCATTTACAGCGGAGTTAATTACAACAATCTTTCCAAACTAGTGATTGTAGTTACTTCCAAAAAAAATCAATGGTCAGGATTAATTCAACTCCATTTACTAATTATTTGTGTTGATAACCCATTTCTGAAAGTCCTCCCCAAGGTGCTACTTTTGACCAACTGCAAGGAGTCATCACTTGCCTCCAAATTAAATGTTTCACTTCAGTAGTATCAGTCAGTCAACATTTTACAGAAACCTCAACTGTTCAAGCAAAACACCTTATATACATTACAATGATGTCTTTCAAGATCTCTATTTAGAAATATAATTGCCTTGAAATTAAGTCAATAAAATTCTCATGCAAGCTATGCTCTTTAAGAGTATTAACTTCTGAAACATCTAAATACAAGATTTGTAAGGTTAAAGATTAAGGTAAAATAAATTAACTCTAAGAAGACATGATAAACTAGCCAAAGCATAAGTCAAATAGGTTTAAGGCTGCAAGCAACAAAACAAGAATTAAGTCTCAGGACTATTTGTTCCCTGCAGATCAGCTACACCCCCCTGATTTCCCACTGCAGTTAAAAACTTCTACTTTTAGGGGTTACTTTTGGGGCACTTTACAGCCTCTCCCACCTTTTTTCAAAGACACACATCCCCTTTTTTGTAAAAACAAAACACAGTTTGTAAGGATGCAAGGCAAACATTGTCACAGTCCTCCTCCCCATCTGTTTTTTTTTTTTTTTTCCTCCTCTCCCCCCCCCCCCGCCCCCCGTTCCCAGGAGATAACGGTACCAGAAAGCTGCAGGGAAAAAAAAAAAAAAGAGGTGGAAAAGTAGAGGAGCGATATCCTCTGGCAACATGAAAGCACATATTGCAGAAGACGACAAATTGAACTGAAAAGGTGCACACCCAAGATCGTAAATGCCCTAACTGGAGGAAGAATCGCCATTCAGAGCTTGCAGATCATACAACCAACAAGCATAAACACTTCCTTGCTTCTGCTTCTTTGCCCATTACACATCTTTTTCCAGTTTTCCTGCTTCATTCCTTCCTTCTTCTGCCTGCTCCTGATCACTCACCTTTTAGCTTCCCTGAGAAGTATCTTTAGACCCAACAGTTTAAGTAATGGTTTAATAACAATATCCAGACTGAGCAAGATGCATCTTCAAGTGAAAACTTAGTAACTACAGTCAAGTATGAAAAACTAAAGTTCAAGATTGGTATGTGCACCCAGGGTTTACTTTGATTTAAATTGAAAGCATTGAAGAGTCAGGTGCAGTAAAACAAAAAAATGTTAGTCACACAAGAACAGCTTACAACCAACCACAAGCTTTATAACTTGCAGGAAGTTACTTTAAGAAACCTCCCTCTAAAGAAGTCTAAGAAAAGTCCTTTGAGTGTGACTGACCGCAAACACAGTGTATTATTTCAGTGGGTGCAGCATTATTGAAGGCGAGAGCAGAGTAGTCTACTCCCTGCTCAGTGCATGCAATCCAAATGGAAAGTGTATAGAGAAGCTTAGGAAACAAAATTAGTATTAATAGACTTTGTAAAGATATCAGATAAGCAGTGAAGTTTTGGAGAACATTTCAGAACTTTACAAAAAAAAAAAAACGTTCTAGTGAGTGACCATAATAAAATCAATTGTCTTGAGCAGAAGTTCAGGAAATCCTATTTGCTCCAACACTGCTGTTTAAGACTGGAGTTTTACCACAATTATCAACAGCTTAGCAAGTCCCACATATCCAGGCACTCCAAAATTGCAGCAAAAAAGCCATAAGCCAACTGTTGTCCAGTTTTAATTCACACAGTGTCTTCATATCACATTACATATTAACATGTAACTTTAGTATTGCACATAAAACTACATAAAGCAAATATGTCACTTTTCTTGAGGGACAGTGTAGCTGTAGAGCCCCCTGGAATAATGAAAATCAACTGAGCTAAATATTACTCGAGGGAATTAACAGGACACCCTATCACCTTCCATTTAAATGCTTTCTCCCTGTGTCTCCAAACACTGGGGAAAAAAAAACAGTTTACAGAATCTCATTCATTTTTTTCTCCTTGATGATACAATGTTGACAGAAACCTACCAAATAACTAGCACTACAGCTGTTGTCTTATTTTAGGCAATACTAGACCTTGAGTTCAAGGTAACTGATTTATAACAAAAAAACAAACCAAAAACATCCTATAACACAAGACTGAAGCAAAAATACTATGACCTCTGTGAAAGTGGAATAATCACAAAAAATGTCCACTGAAGCTCATATCTGTAACACGGGCAGAATTATAACTGAAGATGAAAATTACGTAAGTCATTTTAATTATGTGCCACGTGCATCCTTCAATCAAAATCCTGAAGCTACACATAGGACACAGAAAGGCCCTAGTGCTGACAGAAATCTGTCCCCCTACAGAAAGTCTGAAATGGGACAACACAGATTGTTACAACCCATGTATGGTGTTAGAATTGAATACTGTTTCACTAGACGGTGGTGGTTATCTATCTTTAGCAACAGCAAACTGCTGAATGTTATGTATCAATTGTAGAAAACAAATATCCTCCTGTGCATCTAAAAATATAAAATGCAATGTTCCTAACATAGGTGATCAGCCATCCAGGAGAGATCGGGTCTATGAAGCCCATCAGAGCAAGATTTATCCACTCGTGTAAGTAACTGCTCAGCTAACACACCCTAAACCACGTCAAAAACACGGGCTGCCACCAATTCAAATGGGAGAATTTTGAAGTCCCCTGACAGCTAGCACAACTCAATATTGGCCCTGGGCTGCCAAAGTGATTGAGTCACCTTGAGGTGCTCTGAAACATACCTGGAGTAACTTCAGCTTTCAGGCTGTATCATAATACAGCTTGAAACAGAATACAATAACGGTAATTTAGCCTCAAGATGAAAACACGGCTCAAAATAGTGAAGCCAACACCCAAGGTAAGCAGCTACATCCTCTTGGTTGAAAGTTAAAAGGCACCAGTGGTGTGATGACAGCTGGTGATAACACAAAGGTGTGATCAGACACCGCACTCCCATTAGTGGTGTCCAACACCCCCACCAGTGGTGTCATGCAACTTAAGCTTGCATTGATGATTCAACACATTTAAAAAAAAAAAAAAAAAAAAAAAAAAATCAAAGCACTGACCACTTCTAGAGGATAGTTATAATCCATATGATTTCATTTTCACTTTCTCCATGTTACCAATGTAACTTGCTTGACTGCCTGGCATTTCAGTTAGGCAGTCTGCAATCACATCTCTGTCTAGCAAGCAGGATGAAATGTTTGGTATTATTGTCTACTTTAAGTCTGTTTTATTCTGCTAGTTAATGTAATAACGGGCTTGCCTATTCTCCCTTAAGAAATGGAGAAATTCCACAGGGCTAGAGGAAAACACTCTTTGATCTTAAGAGTTGGATTCATAGGAAAAATCACTTTATTGAACCTTAAGAGCCTCAGGTTTAGTTCAACTAAAAACGGATCTCTACACCACTTAAAAACTTCCAAGTACCTGTTACGAAAAGTAACAAGCTAAAAGCTATGTTTAGAATTGCAGATGCAATTCAGCTCTAGATTGCCTTAAATTTCAACAAAATCCATGTAAAGTAACATATAAAGTAATAAAAACAGATGCTGTCAATATCAGAAAGTTGGTTAAATAGTATAGGAAGTATTACTCAAACAGATCCATAATTATTAAGCTTGCAGGGATTTAAATCCACTGCAATATCTCTCTACACAACATCTTTTTCCTTCCTAAAGGGCAGATGACTTTACTTGCTGCTCTCTACCCAAATTTTGCTCTCAGGTACATTGTTTGAGGCAGGCCCTCAGTGCAAACTGAACAAGACCCTAAGTAGAACAAAGTGCTAAGCTTCTGATAATTTCAAAGTAAAAATAAAATAAAATCATATTTGACATCAACTTATGCAATAAACACTATTCCATTTATTTATCCTTCTATCTGCACTCTGAATAAAGAATACAAACAGCATGTGATCACACATTCTGGTAGTAAAGATGAATGTACCAGCTTGACTTCAACTTTAGGTTTTTTTTTTTCTGTGTTTACCCTTTTTAACTTTTCAATCAGAGCACAGCAAGTAAGCAACTTTATCAACATCCCAAGTGCTACTACAATAACTCAAGCAAGGATGAAGCGCTGCCCACAAAATACAGGCATTGCTACTTCAAGGTTCAAAGAACAGCAAATTTTTTAAAGAAATCCTAGTTACTCGCAATTAGGATGTCAGCAACAAGCCATACCTTATCGAAGACCGTTAGCGTGCAATCACTTTCACTCTTTTGTTCCCTAGTTTATAACACCCCCAGAAGTCAGCCTTTAACTCTACAGAGTAGAAAACATCTTTTCTGCATGCGCTAAGGTTCTACTGATAAACACCTGTAATAAGGTATAGAAGCGGGAAGTCTCTTCCAGCTGTTCCCTTCACTTTTTTTCCACCAAAAAGAACTGACACCAGGAATTCAAGGGAAACAAAAGGGATTTGCTTTCTTGTGGTTGTCACAACTTCCCTGTCAATCAACAGTTAGGACCACAGAATCACAAAGCCTAAGAGGAGAAACAAACATGAGTTTTTCAGTCTGCTCTAGGCACTCCTAGGAGAGGGAGTTAGTAGAACTCAAGACAACACAGTGCAAGATTAAAGCTGCAGATACGCAAGTTAAACTCAAGTACATTTGTTAGTTCTCCCTTCAAGAGCAACTTAATCTTTATTTTCATTTCACTGCCTGAACTGAAAGCACTTCCAAAGTTCTCAATTTAGAGGATGCACTACAGGAAGCTGTGGGTTTGTTGCTTGATTGGGGGGATCTCTGTTTATCATGCACAGTAAAATGTCATTTCCAATTCTGCCTGTTTTATAAGCTCTTAATGGACAGAGTAAAGCACTTAATTTTGCTAAAGAGAAAACCATACAACACTATACTTCTGAAAAGAAGCGATCTTATCTGCTAGTCTTAAAATAGAACACTACTAGATAAAAATTATGAGAGGATTTCACGACCTTATGGTCTACATAATGCTAAAGAATTATTATTACAGTACATACCAATAACCAGGAAACTTCTTATATAAGTGACAGCAGAATTAACAGAACATGAAGTAGTTAAACTCACAGAAGGCACACTTAGCACTCATGCTCAGCAATATATTAAGTTTTACTATAGTTCTAACACAGAAATCCTAGCGTAACTCCAAGAGTTAGTCAAGACTTCCTCAGCTGATGAGTCAAGCGTGCTATGATATAAAGACTTCTCGGTTACTTTTATACCTACTTCTTAAGGCACAGGGAAGTGTGTCATGAGATTCTAATTTCAAAATCCATCAACAGCATTGAAAAGATACTACTTGCTCTCAACTAAAAGCTAAGCTTAAGAGACCCTACACAGATAACGACTCCATTTGAAAAATTACCGTAGTATTTTAGAAGAACGCATTACATGAAGTTGTTCAAATAACAACAAACTTTCCAAAGTCATGAATAGTAACTGGTACCTAAAAGCTGCAAGCGATCCTTGGCCATTGCCAAATTTGTCATCATTTTAGATTGCAGACGTCGAGCCCGTTCACACTGATCACCTTACAAAGAAAAATCAATGTTAAAACACAATTTGGCAAATTAACTTTTTTAAGTGCTAAAATACTGACACCCTCCTCTTCCTCCCACCCCTTATCTACCCCCTCCCCTAGAAACATTACTGCAAAACTAATGAAAAAAATCCTCAAGCCTTCTATTTAATCAAGAATTTAAAAGTTAGTTGACACTATCTGCATTACAATACTGCTTATAGAGCGGTGGGAACCCGATCATTGCTTTGCATACTCTCTCACATTTCATGGTGACCTAATGTATGTTCTTTGTCACTGCATTTTTCTAAACAGAAGTCAAATAAAGTTGTTGGTTTTTTTTTTTTTTTTTAAAGCTTGAAAAGTGACTGAGAGGCAAGTACAACTTGAAATAATTCACTTTGGCAAAATTAACAGATTTAAATTCAGTTGACTGTGTCCCTTTACTTTTCAAAACACATATAGTTACAGACATTAATATCACCACTTCCTAAAAAATAATGTCTGTTCAAGTCAAGTTTGGTTTTGTTGCCTTTTTTTTTTTTTTTTTCAACTATGAAATTTAGACAGGTTGTATCAGCGGCATAAGTAACATGTCACCATATATTGTTCACAAGCATTTCTAAACATAACTGAGGACCAAAACAGCAGTCTGCAAAAGCAGTTAAAGGTTTATTATTATTATGACAGAAATTCTTGACAAGTCCTTCACTACACCTATTTTTCTATGGTACGTACCTGTTTCTACACTACAGCTCAAAATGTTTCCATATACACAGATGGCTTTCTTCCTTTGTTGGAAATGTCCTGCTATTTTGGCCTAAGTTATTCAGAAACACAATGCTAAATCATTCCCAATTGAGTTGTCTCTTTTTGAATTATACTTAAGGGAAAATTCTGCATAAGTGAGAACGTGAACTGTTAACTTTGGCAAATCAAATCAGAACTCATTATTTTGGCTCTTCCATTATATAAGAAATCAAGTATTTTGCTTTAGAACTTTCATTAACTGTTTATGATTTTGCACAGTCTGAAAATATTTGGAGCAAGATTTGCAAGTGTTATAGACCAGAACATTAAGGTAGAACAGAGAAATGAACCAGTGTTCACCTACACCTAAAAGAGGAATAAGAAACACTCTTACAAATGAATTCACATAGCAGACCATTCCTAATACCTACCATCTTTAGCAATATAAATTCCTCACTTTTAAGAAGCCATAAACCAAAATCTTTTCCACAAAACTCGAAACTGGCTTACCTTGACCAATTACTAAGACAGCTATTCCTTTTTCCAGTTCTTCAATTCCTTTCTTATACCATTCAACAGCTTGTTCCTTTTGTCCTGCTTAAAAAGGAAGTGAACCCATTATTTTCTGTAATGAATTAAAAGCTTAGGAATGGTTCCATATAATGCTGTGTAAAACAAGTAAGAGGAATTAAGAGATATTTGAACAAAACCCTATGATTTAAAGAAACACTTAAAGGGACACTGTCAACTTTGTATCTACTTAGTTTCAAATAAGCTTCAAATAAGCTAAAAACAGGTACTACACCAGCCTCAAATCACTTTTGCCTGTTTTAAGAATATTTCTCCACCCACCTTAAAAAGATCGATCCCCTAAAAAAAACAAAAACAAAAAACAAATAACAAAAACAAAACACAACACAAACAAACAAGCAAAAACAAACAAAAATACAAAAAGGTAAAAAAGCTAGCCCGCACATATTCATTCACAACAGAAGTGGCAAAATGAACAGGTTTTCTTTCTGGAACATCCCATTGAGACATGCCTCTTAATCTTCCAGTGAGGGCCAATACTAAAGTAACACTTGAGTTTCTGTGCTTCTAGAATAAAAGCAACGCATCTCACGTATTACATGAGCGAGACAAGAGACACTTTTCCTCTGGTTTACTTTTGTACAGAGCATTTGTCATGGGACTATTCCTTCATTCTCATCCTATCATGGAACGACTGTATCGCACGTTTATGGCACTTTCATATGAAGTGCAATACACATAGAATTATACAACCATGAACAAGCCTATGCCTAACCTATACTATCTGACACCGTGACAGCAAATAAGCCATTGAGGAGATATTCTTAGCTACTTCACGTTGCTCCCCTTCTATAAATACTCTGCATTAGAAAGATACTTGCCTGCATATGGAAACGTACTTCTGCAAGGTAGCTATGTCACACTAAGCGTGCCTTTCCACACAGGAATACAGCACATTCAGTATTACAATTTAAACCTGATTAGTGTTAACAAACTGCTAGTGCTAGAAAAAAGAAGAATGCCTAGAACGAAACCTTCTGATATCATTATCTCAGTTTCAGAAGATAAAACATTTCACAAAACTATTCCTAAGTGCCAGTTACCAGTGATTGTGCTGCTTCTGAAGTTATCAGAAGATAACGCCAGTCCCAAACCTATTTTCCAGCAAATTTTAGTGCCAGTAAAAGTATTTCAGTACATTTCTAGAATCCTCTTAAAGGCTTTCTCATGCTCCTCTCCAGATGCAAAATCTTTTAATAATGTTTGGCAAGTTACCCTATGCAGGTAATTCCATGTTTTGAGTTTCCTACTGATACAAACCGTAGAAGCAGCATCTTCCTACAGTCGTGTATATCACACACCTCGGGAATCACTTTATTACTGCCCTTTCTCTGTCAGCCTCAGATAGCCTGACTGTTAAGGACAAATCTAGATAAATTAGATCACTGAAGCTGAGTGACTTTGATCCTCTCAGTAGCCTTTTTTACTTTAAGCTTCTCCACATTGCCTATAGAAACAGTTTTGACTGCAGTGTAAATCTAAAGCTGATTATGGTTATTAGAAACCAAATTTGAGATGATCCCAGCCATCTCTGCTACTGCCTGAATTGCTTTGCTATTCCAAAGAGCAGCTGCAAACATGCCAAGGTCACTACTAAAATCTCACTTCTACCTTTAACTAGAGAAGTTTTAGAAGCAATATACCACACCACGCTGTTTGTAAAGGTAGTATTCTGAATCCCCACAGAGTGATTTACTAGCTGTCAGCGATTAAGACATTAAAAGTAAAAAGTCACATTCGTTAGAAGTCATTGATTTGCTGTACTGGGTCTGGCTGGGATGGAGTTAAATTTTCTTCATAGCTGCCCCTATGGTGCTTTGTTTTGGATTTGTGACTAAGTGTTAAACACACTAATGTTTGGGCTGAACAGCTTCCACGGATTCAAGGTTTTCTTTTTCCCACTTTGGATCCCCAGGGAGTAGGCTGGTAGCGCACAAAGAGTTGGGAGGGGGCACCGGCAGGACGACTGACTCAAATTGGCCAAAGGGATATTCCGTGTCACCTCACATCACGCTCAGCAATAACAACTTGGGTAGAGGAAGAACGGGGTGGGGGGCTGTCTTCCAAGGCAGCCATTGCTCAGAAACTGGCTGGGCATCGGTAAGCAATTGCCTTTGCATCACTCGTCTTCCCCCCACCTCTTCACTTATTAACACGTCTTTATGCTGAACCACAAGTTTTCTCACTTTTGCTCTTACTATTCTCTTCCCTGTCCCACTGAGGGGAGTAAACAAGCAGCTATGGGGGTGTTTAGTTGCTGGCCAGGCTCAACCCACCACACATACCTTCCCAGTCCCAGGAAAAGAAGTTAAGCTTGATTTTGAAAATACCAAAACAAGAATATTCATTTCCCTGATAATTCAGAAGCATAAAACTACCACAAGTGCTATTATAATTACCGAAGTGCACATAGCTTCCAAAACAGCAAAAATGGCACATAATTAACAGGATATTAAGACAATCCAGAAATCCTAACCATTTCCCATACTATACCCAATACATTGTTTCCTGTTGGAAGTTATAAAAAACTCATTTACATATCAAATGAATTCAAAGGTATGCATGTGTTCCAGTAAGAACAGACAAGCAAATAACAAATCTATGTATTAAAGCAAAGTGAGTTCTTTCTCAAGTGAAATGAATATTGCATTTGTAGGATTGTAGCAGCTTTGCAACTCCTTGCGTTACCAGCAATGATTTTTTTCCTTCTTACTAAATGGACAACCTGTGCAGATAATTCATACATGACAACTCGAAAAATACCTATAAAGAAAGTGCAGGATTAAAATCAGTATTTGAAGGCTTACCCTTCAGACCATCAACAGTTACAAGCCACAAGAGCGGAACAGGCACCTGATAATTTAAGACTTAGCTACTCTTCACACAGCAAACATCAACTACAGTGAAGACTTAAACTACCTCACCTTCTTCCACGCTTTGCTCCTGTGACCCTCAATGCTCTTACACTGTACGTCTGTTCTGAACTAACCTTGCTGCACGCACATGGCGTGTTCTTTCCTCCCAGAGCTGACGACTGCCACTCCCAAATTGTCGATGCAAAGCAAGACACATCCCTCGCTTTTATGGTGCTCACAGCACGTAGCTTCCATTGAAGGCCTATTCCTATACCTTTAGCCTCCGCCTCTAGGATAGCAGTTTCACCAAAGCTCAACAGAAAGAATATAATAAATTAATCTGATGTTCCCAGAGAATTTTGAAACCCAGCACATCATGTCCCTAAGGACTACCTTTTGGATGCTGACTGACTTTTGCTGCTACGTTTGGACTAAACATCCAAGTCAAATGAAGTAGCAACTGTCTTTTTTTAATCCTCCAGACAAAAAAAAAAAAAAAAAAAAAAAAAAAAAAAATTCCTCACTCCTGTGTTTCATTTAATCGAACCCTAAACGTCTTGCTTAAGGCCTCCTAGTCACACAGTGATAGGTGTTTTAAGAGTAAGCATGTCAAAGAGCTTAAAAAACCCGGTTTTTAAAACCTGCCAAAACAGGAATATTTCTTTCTTGAAAAGGCAGGCGACTCCAAATGGGCAGTTTGGAGGCCAAGTTTCTTGAATACTGCAACGCTACTCCCACCGTTTGTCAGGCAGTACGTCAAAGGATGCCCCCGTATTATTGTCCCCGGCGCTTTTGTTGTCCGGCAAGCTCGGTTAAACCGAAAGCTAGTTCCAGTCACACACACACACACACACCCCCTCGGTTTTCACTCGCCTCGCCCAGACCCCCCCGCATCAAAAAACTTTAATTTGAAGTTATCGAGTGACACGCAGAGACCCGCTTCGCGCGGGGAACAAGCCGGCGCCGCAGCTTTTCCCACCCGCGCCGCCCCGGGCGGCTGCGGCGGGGCAAGGCCGGACCCCGCCGGGGAGCGGCACCGGCGCGGAGCTCGCCCTCCCGCCCACGTCCCTCGCCACCCGCGTTGCCCACACCAGTGGGTTTGGCTCGTTTTCCGCTCCAAGCGGCGGCCCCCCGGCTGGGCGTTCGGCGCTCCCCTACCTCTCTCGTCCTCGTCGATGCGCAGCGCCATGGAGATGCACTCGAAGGCCCGCTTGTGACAGGCCCGCACCGTCTCGGGCGCCCCGCCGGGCTCGGGCGCGTCGCCGGCCCCGGCCCTGCTGCCCTTGGCGGCCATGAGGGCGCCGCGGGAGAGGCGTTCGCAGAGCCAGGCGAAGAGCAGCCCGAGCTGGAAAGCGACGAAGCGGAGCAGGGCGAAGGCGGCGAAGAGCGGGTAGGAGAAGTAGTACAGGTTCCGCTTGTGAGGGGACGCCGCGGCCGCCGCCCCCGCCGGCGGCACGGGGGGGGCCGGCCCGGGCGGCGAGGAGGGTGAGGCCCCGGCGGCCGGGGGCGCGGAGCTGCAGCCGGCTGAGCCCTTCTTCTTCCCTCTGCCGCCCGGAGAATTCATTCACCGCCGTCGCCATAACCCGCTGCCAGGGACTGACAACAACCGGCCATGGCGGCGGCGGCGGCGACGCCCCTTTCGCCCGGCCCCGGGGGGAGGAGCGCGCGGCGGCCCTCGGCGAGCGCCGCGGCTGAGGGGAGCGACAATGGGAGGCGGGGATGGCGCCGCGGGGCGCCTACAGCTCCCGGCGTGCCCCGCGGCGGCGGCCGCGACGCTTCGCGACGCGCGGCCGGGGAGGCGCCTGCTGGGAAATGTAGTCCGGGGGGGGGGGGGGGGAAGGCGATCAGCGCGGGGCCTGAGGCGCTTCAGACTGCTCCCGCCCTGAGCCGCCCCGGTAGCTCTCGGCGCCCTGAAACACGCCGAGCGGAAAGACGATGAATAATTGAATAAAATTAATTATTCTGGCTGGAGGCGTGAACCGCCCTGCGGGCAAAACGCAGTGTGGGTACCTCGCACCGTTTGCAGAGGCAGATGAGGAGGGGCCGGGGGAACGTCCTCTTCTCCCAAAGGCAGAGGCGCCTCGCTTAGCGATGGGTAACAGCCGGTAATTTATTGTGTCCCTCCTCCCGCCACTGTAGGATTGCCCCCGAGAGAGTATTCTCCAGCGCTTTGTCTGCTCCACATTTCTGTAACTGAAATAACAGGCTGCCTCCTCACTCGGGGGAAACTAATGTAAATGAGCACAGATCATCTCAAGGAAAAAAATCCCAATTATTTTTCCATGCTCAATATAAGTACGAATACACTGTTGTCCCAGCCACTGTTACCAATTACTTGCCCAACTGTAATATTTATTTGGGTCTTCCCTGACGAGACAGGTCCTCCAGCTCCCTACTCTTTTGGCTGCTCCAAATCTTAAAATGCTTCAGTACATTTGGTCAAGCAAACAAGGGGAGGCACCCACGCATCAGCATTCCTCCCTTAGGTTTCTGGTTTTGGAACACCTTGCTCTGGGCTTTAGTCCTCCCCCACCCTTTTCTTGTTGGTTGTTTTGTTGGGTTGTTGTTTGTTTTGCTTTTTCACACACTCTTCTACAAATAAAATACGGAGGGCTACCGATGTTACTCAGTGACAGATCGTCTCCCTCCTACAGCCCAGACCTGCAGACAGTAGCCTAGACTACCCCAAGTGTAGAAATACCAGATTCCCCAGTTTCTAGCAAGAAATTGGGGGTGCTGGGGCATGTTAGTTAAAAGGATACAGCAAATTGAAAATTGCTTTTCCTAAATTACTGTAGAAGTACTGGGGTTTTTTGATGTTTGCTTACAACATATATAGTTACTTCTAGGGCAGAAAGTTCCCCCAGCAATATGTATTATTCTTAAATGACTGAGGAGAGTATTTTTCTTTTAATGACAGAACTGAGTATTCCTTTTTTAACTGTATAAAATAGAGAATTTTATTAACATATAAATAACATAAAATAACCATTCATGACCTAGAACCATTATTAGACAGAGACGGTAAGCCTATCAGTGCTGAAAAAACTGCAGCAAGGTTCATTAAGTATTTTTCTTCTGTATTTTGTAAGAAGGACGATATACTTCTATTGAGAAAATACCATTAATATTTTCTAGTCCACTTATAACTGGAGAAAGTCCAGTATCTTTTCTTTTTCTTTTCCAATACACCTGGTTTTTTTTTTTTAACAAAAATCTTATTTCCTGACATAAAATTTAACAAATTTCGGAATACCAAAGAAATTCCAGAAATATCAAGCTATGTTAATACTATGTAGCATTTTAAAATGTCAAGTGAAATAAGCCACATGTCAACAGATCTACAGTCTCTATTATCTGTCTATTATCTAAAGTATCATTCTGTTCCTGAGCAAAATAGTATAAAAGCTGGTGAAGGAATAAGTTATTAATAAATTGAAGGACAGATTGAGTAACAATAGGATGACAATGAGTATCAAACAATCCTGACTACTCAATCAGGTATTTTTACTTTTTAAAAAGTGTAGAATGACACCTGTGTAAGTCATGTGACTGTATCATGGCAATAAAATACAGACTGATGAAGTAATAAACAGAGGACCTGTTAGGGGAATAACAACTTGTTCAGTCAGAACACAAGTTTGGAAGTAGACAACAGTCAGGAACTGTGAGCAAATGATAAAGCTTTAAGTGAGAACCTACAGGATCCATTCACTATTCAATATTTATTGATCTGCAAATTGAATCTCCCTACCCTCCTATATTAAGTTGGCTCTAGTAGTCATTGAGATTGTCTGTGAATTATTATAATTAATAATGTGGCATAAAATTAATGTAATAAGAAAAAGAAAAGCCTTAAAAAACAAAACAAAAACACAAAACAAATCCGAGCAATGGATGGCTTTATTCTTGCCAGCTGAGATATCCTGGCTCCGAAAGGGTTCTGATAAACACCAGAAAAGGGTGGGGGAAGTAGTGAAACCTCAGGTTTTCTGGAGTGGGCAACGGTTAGATCACCTCATCCACCTGATTTGACTTCACCCTGAAGATTAAGGACTCATACAGGAAGTTCAGCATGGCATCTCAGCAAAAGGTTTTGGAATCAGAGCAGGCAATCAATACAATCATAGGAGTTAGAAAGGTGCAACTACCCCAACACCACAACTTACTATTACACCAAAGGTCCTGTTAGGAAACCTTTTCTTATTCCCATCACAATGTCATTGCAAAAATTTAATGCAACAGAGAATGCATAAGTGGGGAAGTAGGTGGCTAGAGCTAAAAGGATATATTTTCTTTTTCATTGATAGCCATTGCTAATTCAGGCATTCTAAGTGTAATTCTCTACAATGCCATTGCTAGAACATGGTGAAAAATCAGAGCCTCAAAACAGAAAGAACAGCTTACACCTCTTCACCTTCACCTGTTCACATTAAGCATTTATTTGTAAGTCCCGCTTTGTTTTAGAACAAAATCTCATGATTTTACCTTCCGTTTTCATCTAGCCTCACTGACACCAGCTAAGGTTGCCAGTACTACACACTCAAATTGACAGACAGTATGTGGTTCTGCTACAGCTTCAAGTCCATCTGTTGAATATCAAGTCTGTAACACAGTTTTTAATCCTGTTTATCACACTGATAGCAGTGTCAGTTCTGTAAACATTATTTCAAATTCACTGATGTAAATGCATGTAATGAAGTATCTGATGATTACATAAGAGCACAAGAGAACATCTAATGAAAAAATGGCATTTTCTGTTATTTCTTCGTATCGTTGATCTTTTAAGAGCATCAACTAGATCATTCATATGCACTGTCACCACTGCAGCAAGAAGACAGAAAAAGGTATAGACTTATTTTTGTAAAACAACATTTATATTCTAAAAAGAAAAAACAAATAGACTACAGGAATGTGACTACTTTCTCAAGTCAAAAATAAAAAGATTCTGAAAGACTTTTTAATCTACTAGCACAAACCATGTTATCAGACACAGAATTTAATTCCTAGTGAAAACAAAACAAAGAAATCAGGCATAGGTGCTTAAACACTGGTACAATTTCTAACAGTACAACCACTAAAGAAGCAATAGCCTTTCCCTTTCTTGACAGCTTCAAGTCAAGACAGGATGATTAAAGCCAATAACTGCAGAAAGCTAAAAAGCTGCATTTTTCTGAACAGAGACAACTGGGAAAAATAAACGGCCAACAATCATTGTTCTGTAAACCATATTCTGCACAGGTCTGAAAGGTTTTTTCACTAGCAAAGTCCCCTTTTCAGTTCAAAATCAGCTTCAGCAAAATTATTTTGCACAAGCATCACAGTGAGCTCCTCAGACGTCAAACTGCATCGATTATTAGCGGACTAGCTGCTCCACAAAACCTCCATGGGCCAGGGTTTCTGTTCGGGGAACAGAAACGTCCTGACAGGGCACCCGCAGGTGGAAGCGCCTGCCTGCTTCAGGCCTCCTCGGGCTACGCCCCGCAACGGTTAACAGGGATTAAGAGCGAGCAGCTGCTTTGGTAAAAATAAATTACCTTAAAATAAAAAATCCTCAGTCAGAGCCGCTTGGCGTAATGACGCCATAACAACCACCTCGTCCAAGCCGGGGCCGGGCAGCCCCGCCGCCACGCTCCCCTCAGCCGCGCTCCGGCGGTTGAAGAACCGCCGTGCGACCCGCCCCCGCCCGGAGACCCGCCTCCACGCGCCCACCAGCCAATGGGAACGGGGCTGAGAGGGGCGAAGGCCCCGCCCAGGCATGACATCATTCACGACGATCCCGGCTGTTCCCGCCCCGCGCAGGCCGGCGCCCGGGGATAGGCGGGGGCTCGGCGCCGCGCAGGCGCAGTTTGCCGGGGCCCGGGGGGTGGCGACAGCAGTGCGACCGTTTCATTGACGTCAAAACAATTTACGGCATCGCCGGCGGCTCTGGTTGCTGTGGGGGAGGCTCTCGGTGTCTCGCCAAGCCCCGGACCCACGGGCGGGTGAGAGCGCCGCGGGGGGGGAGGGTGTCGCGTTTTTCCCCGCGGGGCGGTTCCGGCGGCGTCCGCACGTTGCCCGCGGCGTGGCGTGGGGAGGGAAAGAGGGAGGGAAAGAGGGAGGTGTCTCTCCGCCTTCCCGCGGGCGCTCCCGGCCGGGCAGGGGAGCGGGCCGTCGCTGGCGACTCATGTTCTAAACGGTGAATGACGTATTTTCTAATACCGGTACCGGTTGGTTTTTTTTTTTTTTTTGTTTCGTTTTCAGCGGACGTAACGCGAACCTTAAGGCACTTCACAGTTTTGTGTGCGGGAAAAAACAGGCACGCGTTTGGCGGGGGGGGGGGGAGCCCAGGGCAGCTCCGTTCGCTCTCTAGCAGCCTTGGTAACCAAGCGATGCAGTGTCAGTCAGTTTACACTGGGCTTCATCTCAGCTTGCTGACCGATTTTTTTTTTTTTTTTAATTGCTTTCCAAGATTACTGTACATCCAGCAAATTCCAGTTTTCACATCATGGAGGCGGAACAAATTATGGAGGGACAGCCGCAGGTATTGCAAGAAATGTTTTAGGTGCATAATGCTGTGTGTATGAAAGGAGCATTTTCACTTTGCTGACCATGTGTTATTTTACAGGTTCCTGAAAATCCCCATTCTGAATATGGTCTCACTGAAAATGTAGAGGTAACAAAGATTTTGTTGCTGTAAAGTACGGTGGAAGTCGCATTCATGATCAAGGGGAAAAATGTTGAGTCTTGAGTCTAACTTCAGGAAATGTAACATTCCCAAGAAAGTTCAATGGAAACTGAACCAACAAATACTAGTCCCTTGCATAACTGCTTAATGCATTTTCTGTCGTATTGCTTCCATTATCCTAAATGGTGCTGGAGTAAATAATGAACCTTTTAATGAGGTGGGGGTTTTTTGGAAGTATCCTATGATTGTTACCTGTTCTACAGCTCTCTATTATATTATGCCACAAAAAGCCAGACAGACTTCTGTTACAGGGAGGGGAGTAGGAGGAGATGATGGCATTTGTATAGAAGCATCAAAGGGAGGAATTCTTTTCATATTCTTGACAGTAGAAATATTGGATTGGAATAATCCAAGCTATCTTTAATTTCTTATGCTGAGAAAGAGTAGACGTGATCCATTTTCTCTGCTGTTGGTGACAGTGTGGGTTAGAATAAGAACTCTATGACATTTATTTACTATTCCTTATTAAAGAAATGCCTGCAGTCTCCCTCCATTATAAGCTCCTACTCTACACTAAGCTTTTGCAGGAACTTTTCTGAAACGTCCTTGGTGACTCATCTCCTGCTAACTGCTTGCCTGTATGCCTCAGCTTCCACTACAGACCCATAACACACTGGATACATTGGTCCCATATCAGTAGACTTGTGTATGTTATGTTAGATACATTTGGTTTACTGGCAGTGGTAGGGTATTGTTTTTTAACTACAGTTAATGGTGTAAGATGATTCAGCACTTTTTGATCAAAAGGCATTTTGCATATGGTTTCTATAGAGTGTCCACCTACACTTTAATAGAACAGAGTCTTCAACTGGAATTTCTTGTGCTTTTAGCATTTTGTGTTACAAGTGTGTGCATACAGGAACCATTTAATTGAGACCCCTCTTGTTAGTAGTCACTCCTGTCTCAGGGGTGTGGAGTTTAAATCTGTGAATGCAAAAGGAGAAAGAAAAATGAGAGAGATTGGGTGTCTCCTGTTTTAGAAAACTTAACGACTTTATAACATTGTTTCCCCAAAACATAAGAATGTAACAGAAGGCTCCTCTCTATGAGGTTTTTGTGGAAGTAAAAATATGTATCTAAATTTCTGTAAAAGATGTAAAGAAGTTACTGACAGTGAATCACAGAGTAGGTACTTTGTTTGCACTCACACTTCAAAGTAGATGTGGCTGCTACTACCAGTGTTCATTCACTTTTTTTTTTTTTCTTTTTTCCTACTTCAGAGGATAGTAGAAAACGAGAAAATAAATGCAGAGAAAACATCAAAGCAGAAGGTGGATCTTCAGTCGTTACCCACACGCGCCTACCTGGATCAGACGGTTGTACCTATCTTGCTACAGGGACTTGCTGTTCTTGCAAAAGAGAGGTAAGATGCCTCAGTGTTCCTTCTGTTCTCGGGGAAAAGTGGTACATCCCTTTTTCAGTCCTCACACACCAGACATGGTTTTGCTAGTTGTAAGCAAGTCATTACAACAGGTTAATGAACCTGTGAATTACTATGATTGACCATGCAGGACGTGTTCCTCACTTACCTCTTATCACACCATATGCACCTATTTATTGAATTTGTGATCTCCCACTGAGACATGCTACTGCAAAGGTTTTGGAGGGAAAAATGTTTTGTTTTGGTTTTTTTTAATTTTATTACATAATTCACCTTACAGAAGCAAAGCAAGAAGTTGTTCTAGTTTGGAACAAGGTTTTTGTAGCGTGAAATTACAAAGTTCTGCTGGCTGTTTAAAAGAAAGAGAAAGACAAATCGAGCCTGATACGCATCTTTGCTGGAAATTAAAACAGTTTGTAAAGGATGAGGCTGACCCTGCACTGCCAACATAGTAGGAAGCAAACTGATAGTTTATTCTTTGAGTAAAGATTATGTTGTCAAGGTGCCCCAAATTTCTTATCAGTCAATGTAGAAGTGTATTCTTCAGTAATAGCAAACAGTTGTTCATCTTACCCGAATTAATTTCCAACCTTTTGGTATGTCCAGACTATTGGTGAGTGATACTGCATGTAACCATTTCTCAATTTTGCCAAAATAACGTTATCAAAAGCTGGTGTAGATGACCGTAATTGCGTGAATTATGGTCAGAACATATTACAGCCAGAACAACCATCAACAGTGTCTTAAGCACAGGAGTTGTGAATTTGAACTGGATTGTACAGAGAGCTAATTAGGCGCAAGAGCACCTCAGAAGGTGCCTCCTGTGTGTACACCTGGGCAGCGTGCGGATCTTCAGCTGGCTTCTGTGGGAATTCTGCTGCAGACTGAATGTAAAACACAGCCTGAGGTGGATGCCCCACGCTTAGCTGCCTGGATACTTGTGTTCTTGAGAAACTTTTTGTTGCTGTTGTTGTTTTTGAAAACCTTTGTTCACTATGGAAGGAGCTGTTCTTTGTGGGGACTCATCACAGGAGTGAAACTGGAACATTGATAGAAGATGTTGGAGAACGTACAGGCAAACTAACAGTATCAAACCGCCAAGGTCAATCGCGCTATTCAGTTGAGTGGATTAAAACCTCAGGGATGAAAAAGCTGAACTACCAGCTCTCCTGTATAATCTTCTACCTAAAACTGACCTGGAAAGTACCCAATGGATGGCAATTTCTGTTTCTAAGGAATATAGAGATGTTCAGGGAACAGCCCAGTATGTCTGATGAGTATGCCTGGAATTCAGCAGAAAATTTCATCCAGGATAGTGAGCATATGGGTAAATTACATATTTGGGAGGAGTGAGTCAACACAACTTTTGTCAGGTTTTGTCTCTTGGAGTTCACCGAAGGAGTCAGTGAGCACACAAACAGGAGTCCAGATGATAAAGTTTGTTTAAATTTCTAAAAGGTTTCTGTCAGTCATTCACTAAAAGCTTTTAAAGAGAGTTAGTTGCTGTGGGATTAAAGGAAAAGCCTTTATATGGACGAAGAACTGATTGGAAGATAGGAGACAAAGTAGAAGTAAATGGTGATTTTTCATGGTGAAATGAGCTCAGCGCTAGAATCCTGGAAAGGATCATTTATAACAAGTTGAAGTGGCTGACAAGATTTGTTAACGATACTGAGTTTTACAGAATAGGTGGGGGGGGGGATTTCTATTTTGTTGTATGTTTGTACTGTTTTTTGGTTTTTTGGTTTTTTTTTTTAAACTTGATCAATTGCAAATAATTGCACAGGAACTTCATAAACTTGATGTGAAACTATGGAAGGCTGCTATGAAAAACTGAAACTATGCCAAAAGTGAAAGACTGAATACAAATAAATAGAAAATGATGCACCTAGAAGGGTAATCAATACCCTAATGGTAGTGACAAAATGATAGATTCTGAGTTGACAATTACCCTTGTGAAAAAATACCTTTAAACTGTTAAATGTGTATGTTGGTGCATTGCTCAATCAAAAATACATTCTGAATGGTAGGATTTAGAGATTGAAGGGGTAAAACCAAGCATAATGACAGATGTAAATTTATAATGTTGTTGTATTTTTAATATTGGGTATAATTCCAAATCCTGTATTCTGGTAGAATGTGAAAAAGTTAAGAGTGACAAGGTGGTCGGAAGTATGGAATGCTGTCAGTACAGAGAGTGACCGAACAGATACCTAGAAAATATTTCTGTGAGAGGATATATTAAATCACAAATAGCATAGAGATGATGAATTGGCATGGATTGTTTATTATCTCTTCTGATACCGTAATCAAATTAAGTGAAGCAGGCAGCAAATTCATGATGAACAAAAGGAGGTGATCCTTCACAGGTCACATAATTAAGCCATGTAATTTTTTGCCTCAGGTTGAGGACACTAACATTTTATTTGGGCTCAAGGGGCAACTGCTCAAAGCTGTATAGGAATCCACCCAGGACTATTAAAGGTGCTAGCTCAGAAAGCTGGTACATGCTTGGAAGCCAAAAGGATAGTCCAGAGAAGTATCTCTGCACACTTCCTTTTTTTTTTTTTTTTTTTTTTTTTTCCTTTTAAATACTATTTATAGGCATATTTGTTCACTGTCAGACCTCTGGTCCGACCCAGTGTGGAATAAGTAAATTTGTCATTTATTTTGCAGACAGAATCCAGACTAGCAGGATTCAGGCACTGTAGCTGGAGGAGCTTTTTAAAAGACACTTACAGAGTAACACCAGTGATGCCAAATGTTTATTACTGACTACTTCAAGTTTGAGAAGGCCTGTAACTTGCAAGTTGTTGTTGACATTTTGTTGTGTTCATTTCAGTTGCCAGAAACCGTGACAACAGCTCTAAGGCACAATAACGATTTGAGGAAAATAAAACAGGAAAGCACTGACAGCTTAACTTTAATTCATGCTCTATAAAGACAGGCAAATGCATGTCACTCCCAGTGATGTACATACCCTGTTTAGCTCGTGGACTGTACCCTAGTTCTAGGTATGTAGCTGCTCTAGCAATTTAGTAACATTGAACCAACGGTGGCCAAGACTCCTTATTAAAAACTTTCTAATAAACTGGAAATTTACAGGGTAGCTCTAGGCAGTTGGTCACCCTCTATCTCAATGCTTCTGAGTGTGTTTGGGAGGAGTTGTGTTGCTTTCAAGGGCAGATGACAAGTTCTTCAGCTACTTAATTTCATATAGCAAAAAATAATTGCTTTCAATTTACTTTTTTTCTTTACAGACCGCCAAATCCCATTGAATTCCTAGCAGCATATCTTTTAAAAAACAAGTCACAATTTGAGGACCGAAATTAACTCCATAAAAATGAGGACAATTTGGCTGCTAGACCGAGATGCTCATTTGTCACGATTTGTTTCTGCTGTAAAAATCCTTTGGAATCACGATGTCTTTCTTAATCGCACAATTTGCTTTACCTTTTGAGTTATTTAATAAAGAAGACTTTACATTTAATTTGCTCACTTGTTTTAAACTAGCTGTTAAGAGACTTTCACAATAAAGTACTGAAACTGCACTACTGGATGAAAGTCTGAATAATTCCATGGGGCTACATCACCTGAAAGCATGAAACAAGGGGAACAATTTATTATGGGAGTCACAGGGGTGATAATGTATGTAACTTAATTTGATTTTATATAGCACCTTCCACATGCAACATGCCCCAACAGAAAGCAAACAAATTAAGAGCAGTTAGAATTTACTTGACGGAAGTATTGATTAAGTAGAGAGGAAAGAACTTGCTTGAGAACCCCAGGAACTGGGTTTAGTTAAAACAGGTAGATTCAGCAGCTGAATAGATGACCTGCAGCCGGTATCATTAACAACATTTCAGATATTTACATTAACAGGGTGTGCTGTTTAGCATTTCTGCTCGATCTGCTGGGACCGGATTTAACTGAACCACAGAACACAGCTTGAACGGACTTGCAGAGGTTCTGTAATCCAATTCTCTGTACTGCTCCCCTTAGTTGGAGAGTTCTATCCCTGTTAAAGATAGAATCATAGAATATCTTAATTTGGAAGAGACTCATAAGGATCATCGAGTCTAATTCCCTGCTGCTTGCAGGACCACCTGAAAGGAAACCATAGGACTTAAGAGTCATCCAGACACTCCCTGAACTCTGACAGGCTTGGTGCTGTGCCTGCTTTTCTGGGGAGCCTGTCCCAGTGCCTGACCACCCTGTCACTGAAGAACCTTTTCCTAATGTCCAAGACAATCCTAATCTACCCAGTAAAATACCAAGTATTCTGTTTCTGGTTTGTTGCTTGGTTTTGTTTTGTTTTTTTTTCCCCCCTTGAGTTTACTAACACCTTTTTTGGTTTGGTTTGTTTTTTTTCCCCATCCTCAACACCTTTTTCTGACCCATTCTTTATTTTTCCTGTAATCTCAGTAGGGGTAAAGGCCACAGACCTCAGGGTACAATATAAGAAGCTGCAACAGAAGACTGGCGATCAGAAGAAAAAGATAGAATTAAATGGTATGTTGTAAAAAAATACTACCAAAGCTCTGAAAATACAGAAATGAGAGCACTGGCTTGCTAGGTCATTGGCAATGGCTACAGGGACTAGACACAGCCCTCAGAACTCCTATTTTTGTTTTCTGAAAGTTGTAACAGCATAACTGAAGTTACTCACTAGCACTCGATACCGGAATCCAGATTAAGCCCAGCCCAGTTTTTAACAGACCAGGAGAATGACCATTATTTGTTGGACAGTCACAGAAACGGGACACTTGGTTTCCAACAGTTGCTCAACTAATCAAAATCCTACTTTTTTATTGAAATAAACTTGCAATATTGTCATCTTACAATTCCCACCTCCATTCTGTGTTTCTTAGCTAATTGCTATGGCAAGCAGTTAAAACCTTGTAAATTAAATTATTTCCTGCACCAAGGGTTGGAGGTTTTTTGTGTGACATTAAATACTGCATAATTTTTTTGGTAATTATGCCTAAATTCACAAAAAAAGAGACTTAGGACTCTTGTTCGGCTTGTTTGGGCCATGACTTAAACATACACACTGTTAGGTGTCTATTTGCCCTTCTTTCTGACATCTAGAGGACTTTCATGATTTGCCCCAAATATTTGCCCTTAGTTCTCTGACATCTAGATGACTTTCCTATGGTAATCTGAAGACATTTTTTTGTTTGTTTTAACTTGTTTTAAACATAGCTTTTCTTCTTTAGTAGCTTAGATACATGGGTGCAAGAATGACCAGAATATAGATCCTTCAGAGGAAAAACAACTTTTCAATTGTCTGCTAACTTGCAGGGGCTGGAATGAGATCTGGCTGTTATCCCTAGTAGGAAGGCTTTCAATATTTTACATGTTTCATAATATGCTAAGAGGGAAACATTGAATTACTGTAGTCCAAGAGCAGTAAGATTGGGAAACAAAAAAATTGAAACAAACTTGCCAACCCAAAACCAAGCCTAAAAAGCTCTATTTTGGAAAATGTACAGAAACTGTGGAATGAGATTACTAATTCTACTGCATTGTGGTGAACGCAGTCTCCATCAAAATCTTTAAAAAGACACTGAAAGGCTTTTACAGACTTTCCAGAATTCATAATAACAGTTACGTGAAAACAAGGAGACAACATAAAGACTTGGTACGGCTATTTTTATTGCTGAAGTGGCATTCCAAGGTTTCATCCAGAGGTGATAACATCACAAGATCGTTAAGAATTGTTGCACGTGGAAAAAAAAAAGATCTATGCTGATGCCCAGCTTCTGTGTTGAGAATTTGTACAAAAAGAAGCAGCTCAATTATTAATCTTCCCTAGAGAGAGCAATTTTCCTGTAATCTATCACCGTGCCTGAATTCAGAATACAATCAGATTTCTCAGCTTTCAGTAACACCCTCCAAGCAGCTGCACAAAAGCTTGTAAACACACTGAGTTTCTGACAGCTCTTGCATCAACCTAGCATCTCAAAAGTACGAGTAGCAGCCTTAAGGTGAGCTGTGCTTGCCAGCAGCACGCCACGTACTCAGCTGTTGGTGCCACTGTTTGGTATGTGGTGGCACCCGCTGTCGTCTTCCCATCTAGGCTAGGTCAAGAGAATGAAAAAGCCATGCTCACAGGGTGATGATGTCAGAAGATGTGCTAGAGCAGCTTTTCTAGGCAGCTCCCTCCAAGAAAATAAGTTGAAATGTTACTAGCGGCAGTGAACTCACCAGCTCCAAGAAATGTATTTTAGTAATTCTTGCAAGGGTATGACAAGTCAAGAAGAAAAAGTGCAACCATATTGCTTTACTTGTTAAATTGGCTTCACCAATCACAATCTGCTGCATAAAAAAATACACTGTAATGGGAAGAAGATGGCAAATTACGATCTGAATAATCCAGTTCTCAAAGGTAGTGAAGTAAATTTTCAGAGCGTTTACTTCTTTTAAACTCTCCCTACTACAAAACAATGAAAATTCTGTTAAGAGACTTGACAGGCGCTTGCTATCCTAATTTAATCCAGAAAGAAATAAATCCTGTTTTTCCATGGGAAACACCAGTTTTGAGGGCTTCAGGATAAACGTATTTAATCCTGAAGTACAAATTAAGTTATTTTACATTTATAAAAATGAAGAACTCATCAATGCAGTGGGGAACAGATGTAAGGGGCTACAAGTTATGAATAGATGTAGAATAAAAGCTTGAATTGAAAATGGCAACTTTAGATGTATGACAGGCCACTGTGAAGTAACTGCAAGCCATTATCTCTTGATTCTCAAACAATTATTTTTCAGTTTTCTCCACACTGCCCTAGGTAACTGAGCATTTGCTCTGAAGGGCAGTAAAATTAAGCAGAAAATGAAACAGAATACCTGGCTAACACCACAGCACATCTTCCACGATGACTTTTTTAGATCCAATATCCAGAAGTTACCATTCAGTAACAGTGAAAGAACGATCTATGACTCATACACAGTATTTTGAAGTCTGCCTTTTTAAATGCTTCTACTGAGAACATTATCTTTCACCTTGAAGGGGACAGTGACAGAAGAAAGGATTTCCCACTAAAAGCAATTCTGATCAAAGGGTTCTAAATCCTCATATTCTGAAGCCTGTTACCACCTAAAAATACAGTTTGACTTGCCCCATCTTTTTTCTGCATCTCTGGTTTATCAAGGACTTACTCCAAAATCAGCACAGGTCTTTGAGCTATCCATTTCATTTTCTGAAGTGCTGTCACTATTGTAAATGCAGTCTGATCAAAAGAACTCTCTCCCCACCAGACTTTCTAGAAATAAAACAGCTGCTTTCAAAGAGATGAAAAATCTGAAAAATTCTGAAAGATACAAGCAGTTGAAACCAGTAGGTTGGAAAGGAAACACAAGAAGACTTCCTATGCCTACCATGCTTGATGGAATACAGGTTTTGATTTATTCTTAAGATTGTACAAATTACATAACACATTATTCTTAGCCAAGCCTTAGCTTGTGTTCCCTATTCTATTTCACAGTCAGAATTCATTTGAAGAGTGACTCCATAGCCTAGATCACAGAAGTACAGAATGCCAGCTGTTACAGAAAGAGGCATTTTACCATGACGAAAAAAAGTATCAGCACCACTTCTGCTAATGTCCCCCTATTCAAATACACAGTTTTAAGTGAGGACTTAAAATGTAAATGCTTGTGAATAATTGTGGAGCAGTTTACAGCAGTGCTAGTGCAGCACTGACTAGGAATGTGTCATATTCCTCTTCCCAATGTGCTTTTATCTCTCAAAGTTTGCTTTGCAACTGTGCATAATAAACCAGATTTCTGAGAGGAGCCTAAATTGATAAAAGGCTGCTGGATGGTTGCGCTCTCCTGGAAAGCGTATGGCCTTCTTTTTTCTCTGGTGTATATTGAGTTATTTACAAGATGGATAATTACCCACTGATACTATCTCAGATGCTATTACGTTATAGAGGAAGTGGAGATATTTCCCTTGTAAGGGCTATGAAGTTTGCAGGAACCTGCTTTTAATAGTAGAAGGAAGGACTGCTAGGAACAGCAGGTTCCTTAGATGCAAAATGACTGTAAAGAGAAAAACCCAGAGTAACAGTGAACAGCTTCCTGAGAAGGGAGGAGACAGGAAGTGGACAAGGTGAAAAAACATGATAGACAAAAAGACAAAATAAACCACGTGCAAGAGGACAATGAGAACAAAAAGCAAGAAAGCAACAGACCTTGAAAGCTGGGCCAGCTGAAGACGTGTGCCACCCAGGCTGGGCACAGGATGTTACTCAAGGAAGACCCTGCCTACTAAGGGCACACTAACTGGCAAATCACTCTTGCCACAATCTGCCTTCATGCTTCCAGGTAAGAAACAAACTGCCGACAGACACACATGTGTTGCAGCGGTCTGTGCTTCAAGGGCATGCTGACTTGGGGGACTGTCCCCGCATTGTGTCAACTCTCCCCTGCACATCAGAGAAAAATGACTGAAATAATAGCTCTGAACAGGTAAGTGCTCCTGATACTTCTCCCTGTATAAAGTGCTCTAAGAATGATGGACAAAGCAGGAGGATCTCCCAGCCTAACCCATATTTCACAGTATTCAACCAAAAGCTCAGGCCATTCCCTCAGCCTGTGGCTAGAACCTTGCCATACCTCCACATCCTGAGCACCAGCAAGCCCAGCACCACCATCTTCTATTTAACTGAAGAGCTGCCTGCTCTTCTGTTTCTGTCTCTTTCATTTATGTTCTGTGGTGCTAATGGAGTGCATCACCAGCCCTTAAACAAAGAAAACAACCTGTGATCAGGAGGTGACAGTGAGAAGTTTAAAAAAAGGAACCCACAAATCACTAAATGCTGCTCAGTGGTAGTATGTCCAGCTGTGATAGGGAACAAAATAAAAATCCTACCATCATCCTTGCCAGTGGAAAGAGCAGAAATTCCTCCTGGAGTACTATGGACGACAAGCTTTGTCAGGAACAGGCAGAAACTGAAGAGGATGTTGTTCAGCTTCACTGGGCTCTGGATTGAGAGTGCTAATTGCTAACAGAGAAGGGCAGAGATTCACCAGAAAAAGGGCTGCCACGGTGTTTGTGGCATGTGCCACAATCTATGGATTAGCAAAAATGACTGTGCTTTCTATGACCTGCTAACAATGAGCTGCAGCTGTTCCTCTGCATTTATACAGACACTATGTTCACATTACGTACAGTAGAAATTTCATCCTAATCTACACCTAATATAGGGGAGAAAAAAATACACGCAAGGAAAGGAAGGTTAATGAGGAGAGCAAGGGAGGAGGAAACTTAAAAAGGAAGCACAAGGAGAAAAGGGATTCAGCCCAAGAGGTATGCAGCAACAACAAACGAAATATATTTAAGAAATTTTAAAAGGCCAGCTGAAGAGGAAAAAACCACTACATAAAGTAGTAAACCCAGAAAAAATTACTTATGTTTTTACTCATTAAACCATCTAGATTACCACATGGAAGTTCTTACATTCTATTTTCATTGGAGAGGATGTGCTTAGAGGAGATGAAAGGTCATCCTCTAAACGGTAGAAAGGACTAACAGATAATTAAAAATTATTTTAACCTCCAGTTCCCCTAAGATGTTTCTCCTAGAAGCCTCCTCTCACTGTTCTTGGTGGACTGTGGAACAATGATGCATCAAAAACTTTATATGCTGGCATGACCTTTTTTCTAAGTATATAATCACAACATTTATTTTTCCCCATGGAGTCAAATTTATCTTCTGCTGCATCTAGTTAACTTTATTGAGGGATTAGTAGTCAGTTCAGGAACTATTGCCAGTATTGCAGTTTATGTAAAAGATTTGGGAGATGTAAGCGGGTATGGCAACTGCCAATATAGCTTTATGTTAAACCAGTCAGGCAGGATAGGTCTTCCAGTCAAGGCAGCAGTTATAATTCACGTTAACCTTTTTCAACGCACTGTTTGTAAAATAATAATGGAATACTAGAAGGATAGATAGAGCAGTGAAGACTACATAAAACGTTAGACATCTTCTGGCATAGTCAGGCCCCATTTCCTCAAGGCAACCTATTACAAATATTATTCATTGGAGATTCCAGTCCTTCCTGCCCCTCAGCAGCATTGGGTGGCCAGTGTTATGGGTGCAGAGGAGGATCCTCATTAATAAAAATGCCATCAGCCATATCTCTGCAGCACAAGCCTTTTTGATCAAGATATACAGCAAACAATGCCTATGTGTCCCCCCATTCCATTTTACTTAAAAAAAAAAAAGACACAAAACCAAACACCCACAAACCACCAAAGCTCTGTATTTTGCATGCATTTATAACTGGCTGCAAGGTCTTTTTGAAGAATAAAATTACATAAGGGATAGAAAAAGAATGTGTTTCCCGCCCTGGCCCATACATTTTCCACCTCACCAAGCACCACTCTGCCTTAACACCTTAATGGCTGCAGCCCCTCATCTCTCCCGTCGTGGCTTCCCTCTCTCCTGGTTGCATCTCAGACGTCAGTGGCCAGAACCGCTTTTTCCCTTCCCCCCCTTTTGTACTGGCCACACTCCCCTTCGCAGTTCTGCCTTGTTAGTCGTTTTGAGCTACGCTTGGCATCTCCACAGCAGCAGCCCATTCACCATGCTAATAAAAAAAATTAAGAGGGGTGGGGAAGGATGGAGCTGAGGAGACTTCTACACAATGTATTCCCGCAGCAGCCCTCGCGGCGGGCCGCGGTACCAAAGACGTAACGGCTCGGGGAAGGAGGCGTAGGAAAGGGAATTTGCTAGCTCAGAAACAAGGAGCTTCGGCCCAGCAAACTCCCCGTGCCCTCAGCCCCCGCCTTTGCGAAACGAGCCCCTCAAACCCCCGAACCGCTCCCACAGCCCGTCGCGGGGAAGGGGGGGGGGGGGGGGTGGGGGGGGGGGGAACGGACGGACGGACACACACACAGAGGCGGCGCCACTGCGTGTTCTCCTCACAGCGAGAGGGCGACCCCCCGGGCACCGAAGTAAGCCGCTGCGCTCCCGGGAACACACCGCCCGGCCTCCCCCTCAGGCCTCGCCCTGTCCGGAGGGAGGGGACGGGGCTGCTGCCGCCAGCCGCGCCCCTCAGCCGTTGCCGGACCCGCCGAGGCGGCGCGGAACGAAGGGGCCCGGCGGCCGCGCGCCCCCAACGGCGGCACCGCGTGAGGGGAACCGCCCACCGTGACCCGGCGGGAGGGGGGGGGCGCTGGGCGGAGCTCCCCCTCGGCCCCTACTCGTGTCACGTCGTTCCCCCCCCTCCCGCCCCAACCGGCCTCCCCTCATCTGACCTGCGCTCGTAATCTTCCCTTCCACCACGGAGACACAGCCCCGCCAATCAGCGAGGCCAGAAGCGATCGCCACGGCAACGCGGCCGGCCAATCCGAGGGGCGCTCTCCCTCCTGAGCCCCGCCTTCTTTCCCTCCCCCCCCCCCCCCCCCCCCCCCCCCGCGCTTCCCCCCACGAGGCGGCGCCGCTCCATTCCGGGCTTGTCAAAGCGGTGGGCGGGCACGGCGAGAGAGGGCGGCCAATGGCGGCGAGGCTTTTGCTTTCGTGCCCAATGGGGGAGCGGCGCCCGCGCGGCCCCTAGTCCACGGGAGCCGAGCCGGGCCAAACCCAGCTGCCGCCGCGGCCTCCTTCTCTTCGCGCCCCCCCACCTGCCAGCGCGGAGTTGGCGGCGGCGGCGGCCTCGGGCTTTGTCCCCGCTCCCCGCGGGGCGACCGCCTGCGGCCCAGCCCGGCCCCGCGCCCCCGGCCCGCGCCGCCCCGCCCGCCGCCCCCGCGCGCCCCCCTCCCGCTCGCCGCCCGCCCGCCCGCCCGGAGGCGCCGCCGGCAGCGCCGCCTCCGCCCGCGGGGCCCGGGCCGTGCCGGGGGAGGAGGGGGAGCAGCGCCGCCGCCGCGGCCGGGCCCGTCCCCCACCGCCTCCCCCGAACACCATAGGCGGCTCCGGCACCAAGATGTCCAACCGGGTACTCTGCCGGGAGGCCAGCCACGCCGGCAGCTGGTACACAGCCTCAGGTACCGGCGCCGCGGCCCGCAGCGCCGCCGGGGGCGGGGGGCGGGGGCTGAATCAGCACTTTCCGCCGCCGGGGCCGCGGCCGGGGCCGGTACCGGGTGCGGGGAGGGGCAGCCGGCCCCGCCCCCGCCGGCGCAGCCGGCACATGGCGGGCTGAGGGAGGGAGAGGGGGCGGGGGGCTGAGGACCGGGAACCGCGGCCCTTCGCGGGCCCGGTGAGGGTCTGCCGGGCCCGGGGGGGCCGGTAGAGCCGGGGCGGGGTCGCAGCCGGTGGCCGCAGCGTGGCCCCGGGGAAACCGAGCACACCCACCTGCCGCCGCGGGCCCCTCCGGGCCGGGCCGCAAAGCCGGGGTCTGGCCGCGGCGTCCCGTCCCACGGCAGCGCCAGCCCGGGCCCTGTGCCTCGCACCCAACGTGGCACTCGCTCGGTGTGGGAGCGCACGAACAGATGCCGGTATTTTGGATTACACTCGTGGTTTGCTTTGTTTGTTTTTTTTTTTTTTTTTCTTTTGTTTTGTTTCGTTTTGTTTTTTCCTCCTGAGAGAATTTGGGATGTCAGGTGTGTTTTGTAGGGTTAGGAGGCAGGTGATGGAGTGGTGGAGGTGGTGGGGAAATAAGGTTTATTTCACTTCATGTAGTCCAAGACGAGCTTCTGTCTTTTCTTCCAGAGCGTTTTCCCTAGTAGCAACGGAAAGTTACAAAGCAGCAGTACAGAATGGGCTCAGTCCATTTAAAAATGTAGTATTTGCAGAAAAAGAATAGACGGAAGACATGGTGCAATGGAGGAAGGGCTACTGCTCCCCTTGCCCTCTCAGAAAAAGACAGAAAAAAAAGACAGTGGCTTGATAGCACATATGTTCAGAAATAAGTTTTACTGGCTCTGGGGGCAGAACTCTGCTGTTGTGGGTAGGATACATGTTTGTATTTTCAGAGCTGTCAACAAGGAGATTTGTAAGGGATGGTCTTACTGGCCTCAGGAGTAAAGATAATTACAAAACTGCAGGTGAACCCACTTAGGTGAACAAGAGGCTGTCATAAAGAATAGTTCAGAGGGAGGGGAGGGATACAGTTAAAACAAAAAAATGCATTCAGGATCCTAAACTGACATTTAAGAAAAAATAGATGTGAAAAGTCATCCACTTGTCTTGACTATAATAGGTGCGGTTTCCCCTCTCCTCCACAAATTACTGAACAAGGTTTGAGGCAAAAATGCAAAGGGAAGAAAAGAAATACAGCGTGGAGTGTAGCAGAGGAAGAAGCAGATTGTGGGATGAGTAGCTGGGCTTTAAATGGTGGGTAGGCAGTTCCGAGACAACAATAGGGGATGATTGTTTTCCTTCTGAGTTTAATATTCCAAACATAATTGGTTTGTCCATTACAAAACTGGTCTCAAATCTTCATTCTGTGTCAATAGCTTGCAATTACAGTTTTTTCCAACTGTCTAGAAAGGTAGGTAGTACTCTGTTTACAGAAAGCAAACAAAATCATGTCAAAGGTATAGATTTAAACACATGCAAAGGCATCAAAATCTTGAAGCTTTGTGGTAACACTTCCCAGCTCATTTGTGCTATTTATACTTTATGAATAAGACAGAAAATGGATTTACAATGTGGAATGGCTAGGCAACCTTACACATAAATTCTGTAGTTTGATTTTGGACATCATACCAAGTTACTGCTGGATACTTCCAAATGAGAATTTTTGTGTGTGTTTTTTTTTTTATTTTATTTTTTTTTTTTTTAATTAAGAGGCCTAGATGCTGTGTTTGGCTGTTTTCTTTTCTATAAAAATTAAATGCATAATTTTGTTAGACTACACCCTGCTAAGTTTGTGTGACTAGTTCAGCCAGTACTACTTGTCTGTAATAAGACATCCAAACACATGTTGCTCCCCTTGCTGTTGGGCAGCCCTCTGGTTATTGCTTATTGAGGAGGTGTGGGATGGTTGCCCAGACACTTACACTGCATGAATAAATAAAAACTGAATGTGTTGTAACAAGTTATGGTGACTATACTTCTGACAACTTAAAGTGTAACTGTTACAGTGTGTATGCTGGGGGGAAGTGATTGGTGTTGCATAGGCTGGAGTTTTGGGAAGTGTGTTTTGTTTTCCTTTGTAGGATTTTCCTTCAACGAGAAAAGAGCATTATTTATGTCCTTCCCTATAGAACTATCTTGTGCTGTTTATGTAGGGCATGTGAGAGTAGGCATTATCCCTGTTCAGCAAGACAGGGATTACCTGTTATTTGTTGTTCAGAAGCTAATTTTTGTGTGCCACTTAGGAGGGTCCATCAAAACTCAAGAGGAAGCAAGTGGGGACCGAGAGGGTGTGTGTTCATCATAGACTTAAAGTCTTCCTGTATTTTAGGCCACGCTCACCTGTCGGCTGCTATTTCAAACTTGTAACGTGGGCTCATTTCCTCAACCATACCACTTGAAGAAAGTCTGGATTTTTACCACGTGGTTTCAACCTGCGTAGCCTCAAAGATGGAGCTGAGGCAGGGATTGGAGTTTGAATTGTGATAGTTCTTCAGCACGTTCCCGTGATTCTCCGGGGATTGTGTTAAGTCCTCCTACCTACTCTCTTCGTGCTTACTGTCTCGGCCCAGAAGCGATTTGCTGGGTTATATATAAACTGGTTAGCATTTAAGTTTCCCATTTCCTGAAAACTGCGCTCTTCCTACAGAGCTGAGTTTGATTACATGGGGCAAGCAGATGCACTGGAAACTCTCATCCTGCTCTGTAGCTAAGATGACCCTGTCTGAAAGGGTAATGAGAAATGTGATTTTTGAAGGATGTGTTCAAAATCGTTATGTCTGAAAGCATGCTAAAGAGGCTGTGTGAGGATGAGGATTTTAAGTGGAAGTTTATCCCGAGATGCCTGGTACCTGAGGGTAAAACATCAACAAAGCATCCAGGATGATGCATGGCATCCTGGACTGGGCGGAGGGTGAGGGTGCAGGGTTGACTACAAAAGTAGAGCACCCATTGCTATGCTTAAAAAAAAAAAAAAAAAAAAAAAAAGGGGTATTTGCAAGATCTGGCTGTAGAAGTCAGCCCTGGGAAAGAAGGGCCGAAGCCAGCTGAGGGACAAAGGATCGATCCAGAATGCAAACCAGCTTTTGTGGCCAGAGGATATCCTTAAACTGGATTAGCTAGCTTCTCTGCACTCCAGGAGTGGAAGCAATATCAGAGGTGAAGCCACAACCAAGTAAGAGGGAGCTACTACTCTTCATGGAGGGTCAGTGTGTAATGTATGTGGGAGGGCTTAGAAGAAATACCACTTGCTGTCTTTAGAGACTGCTCATTTCTGTGGGGCAGCAGTTGCTTCAGCTGAAAGGAGACCCTCATTCCTCTATTTTCTCCAGCTACCGCATATGCACTGCTTAGGTTCTGCCTTGGAAAATACAAGCATGCACTACATTCTGGTGTGAACACATCACCTAATTGTATGATGCTAATTAATGTTTTAAAGCAGGTGAGACTGGCTGTGCAATTATGCGTATCCAGGCATGTTCACATGTTAGAATATCACATCTAACTATAAGTAAACAACTTTGTTGTTATTGGAGGGAAAGTGAGCTCAGTGCTTTCTACCTGAAGCTGAGAAGCGGGGCAGGGAGGAGAAGATGGGCTTCGTGGTGATGTTAATATTTAACTTCCTATGTGTTCTTCATCCATAACGTGCTGTTGTGAAGAAAAAATTTAAAAGCAAGTTCTTTAGGAAGTTTCTGCAGCTGAGCTGAATATAAAAAATTAGACCAAAATTATCATCGTATATTCTTCTCTAGAATTCTTGGTGTGGGGAAGTTCATGTTCATTCCACATGAGTCCATGTAGCATCTCAGTGGACTTCAGATGTGGACCTGTGGAGCATTTGTCTGGCAGCAAACTAACAATGAAGTCAGTTTGGTCAGTTGTTCCTCGTCCTACTTAGCAGCAGCGCTGAATATGGGAAGCTTTACAGCTGAGCTCCCAAACTGAAATAACACCATGACCATTGCTGATAATAAGCCACTGGTCTGAATAACCTGTGTTTTCACTCGCAGACCTTAATCGCTGTGTCTGCTTTTGAAAAAGTTAAAAATGGTATGTGGCATGCCATTGCTTTTGTGGACTAGCAGCCTGGTGCATGGTAGCTGCTAAAAACTTGCAAAAATGAGATAAAGGCATACCATGTACATAAAAGCATTGCCTTGTTTCACTACTGTCATGTAGATTGCTTAAAAAAAAAAAAAAAATCACTGTTATGTGGTGAAAAATATTACACCCTGATTTATTTTTGGAAGAAAGTCCCACTCCTGCTGGGCTAATTCAACCACCTAGCATCCAGACCTCTTGAGAGATTGATTTTGGCCAGCAGGGGGAAGAGGAAGATTAAGGACAACTTGAAATAAAAATGGCGTAATTTTCCATGATTTTGAATGCAGGACAGATACACTCCTAGATACAAAAGGAGCAGCTGAAATACAACGGCAATGGCACACTATCCCAAGCACAGGCTATTTGCAGTCTGGAGGGTGTGGATACTCTCTCCCGATTTACTCTTCCATGTGAGTACATTCTGGAAGTGCTGGGCAGTTCTGTGAGGAATCAATCCATACGTTGCTGAAATTAAAATAAACATTAGCTTATGTGCAGCTTTTTTTGCTGTATAGCATGCCATTACAAGTGAGATGTCACGCATTAGGGCGCTTAACATGGCTTATTCACTGGCAGCTGGCCTGCCTTGCCTGGCTTCTGGAAGTGCTAATTGAATACTGTAGCACTCTTTTTATTAATGCATTTGGTAAGACTTCTTGTCTCAACTTTTCCCCAGTCAGTGGCATGCTGCTACAGACAAAACTCAAAGGTTTTTATTAAGCTATTCCAAATCACAGGAGTAAAATGAAATTGAGAGTGTGTGTGAATAGCAATACTACATGATCTGAAACTTGCCCTGCAACATCACTTTGTCATCTTATTAGGTATGGCTTATTTCTCTGTTTTACTCAACCAAGCCACA